GGCCAGCAGCGGGACGGTGATCGGCAGGCCGCCATCCCCCGTCACGCCCTTCAGCGCCTCGAGGGCCTCCGCCTCGGCGCGCCGTCCGCCGAGCTCCGCCCTCTTTGCCATCCACACACAGAAATCCACACACGCCAGGCATTTCATCCAGTGCATTTGACGCGAAAATGCACAATGATTGCGCTTCGAGTTGTCCATTGCTCACCAGCGAGAGGCGGCGGTGTTCATCCTTGAGGCTGGCGTGAGTGGGAAGGCGAGGGCGGCATGGTGGTGGTGGCTGTGAGGGTGGGAGTGATGGCTCTCCTGCGGATCCGTGTGCTCTCTACAGAGATGTGGCCTGCGACGCACGTTGCGGCGAACAAACGACGCTGGAATGTGTCGAAAGAACGAAAAATTTCGGGGTAGGGTTTGCGGGGTTCTGTCCTCTCGGCGAGAATTCTCGACGCTTCAGAAGGGCAGCTGCTTGCGCATGGATTCGCCGGGGGTGTGGGCAGGGGGACCTGCCGAGGCCATCGCCGTCTTCTCAGCGGGCATCATCGCCGGCCTGTCGTTCCTCATCTGCACCAGCCGAAGCCGAGCTGTAGCTCCCAAGACCAAGCAGGATGATGCTCAGGCCGACGGTCATACGTCCGTCGTCAGTGGCGCGGCGCTGAGGGAGGGGATGCGGCAGAGGAGAGGAATGCCGACTGATGCGCAGGGCTGCAACACGATGATAGCTGCTGACGGCAACGAAAGACAGGAGCCGATCTCTCAGGCTGATGTAGAGGCTGCCCGAAGACGAGCCGAGGTGAGCCATATGCATGCACCCATCATACCACGCGGGTCATGTGTTTGCAGTGGTTTCGGTCGAGATTGACTCCCGAGGGCCGCGCTGCTCTGCTGAAGCTCAATGCCCTCACGAGTGGGCTGTCGCCTCGCGAGTCGATGGCCATCAAGGCCGTCTTCGGACTCATGTTTGTGGGCTTCCTTGTGCTCATCTCGGGTGCGCCTGCCCACCACACACGCACAAAGGATGCCCTGTGTATGGTGTGTGTTGTGTGTCAATCAGGGTTGCTGGTGTTGCTGACCAAGGGCGGCATCCTGGGGTGGCTTGCCGAGGGCATCAGGCGGCTCGTGGGATGACCGGTCGATGAAGGGGAGGACACTGAGAGGGGGTGTGTTGATATGATAGACAGGATGGGTACTGCGAAGACTGACTGGCTTGATCACTGTATATGACCGCCTGGTGTGTGTATAGCTGGTTGTCACTCATCGACGTATTCCTGCGTTCCACTCTGTCGGTGGGTGTGTCACGGTGGCTGGAGTGCCGACTGGTGCATCTGAGGAAAAAGCCGACAGAGGCTGGTCCCTCGGATGCATTCTCTCTTCTTGAGCCCCAGTGGCATGCCCGCTCACTTGTGTGGCCTCTCTTATGCTGACTAGCATTCACGGCACGTGCATCTAACCTTTGTCGACAGCACGGTTATCCACTCAACGTCACTGCACATGGTCCCATCATCGCACGAATGCCAGACGGCGCGGGCGTGTGACGCCAAAGTCCACCACCTCAGCATTCAATCACCACTTTCAGGAAACACAAGTGGCGATAAATGCTGATGTTGGCGGAGACACGTCCACACGCATGGCCAGCTGGTGCAGGTTGATACTCACATTCACACACAGCATGCAAGACAACACATGAAGCAGATAGCAGAAAGGCAGACCACATACTCGAGCGCGACGCAACACCACACGTACCGTCGTTTCCCTCTCTCACAAAGCGAAACTGTCTGTCCAAAGGCCCCATGCAGCAGAAAACAGAAGATCGAGACGTAATAAACACACATTGCTGAGAACATAATAAAGGCCACACTCACGTACCGACACACCACACCACAAGACACCCGTCATATGTCGCCATGTGCCATGCATCACATCACACATCTGTCCGCCACATGGCTGTGAGGGCCTTGTCAGATGCCGGCAGCCGTTCGAACGCCCATGGGAAGTCGCGATACAGCTCCTCACAAGTCGATCCGACCTCCCTGATCCGTGAACATACCAGACAGAGACAGGCACTTCAGTCACTAAATCTGTTCTATCAGTATGTTTCCTCCCCTTTCTCACCTGGCGTGCCATTCGCATAGCTTTGGGTGAACTGGGCTCGGGAACGTCAGCTCAAAGTCGCCGGATTGCAGTGGCTGGGCTGCGATGGGCCGCTCCACGAACAGGCGTCTGAAGGGGTCGTACCCGATGACCCGCAGGATGTCGGCGTGGACCTCCCGATACATGGCCATCGTCGACCGATAGCGGGAGTCACACCCGCCGCCCGTCTCGCTCGCACTGACACGCAGCCGAGAACAACACAGATGCACTCACTTTCCTGATCTCTTTCGTGTAGTAGTGCGTCTTTACGCGTGTGCGAGGTCCGTGGCGAGGTTGCCGAATCCCGGGTCGTTGTTGACCTCGATCACATAAGGGTTGAGTTCCTCGTCGAGCACGACGTCCAGGCCGAAGAACTGGAACACCCGGCCGCATTTGTACCCGCCGTATTGGGACGAGTTGCAGCCGAGCTTGTGTGCGAATGAGAGGATGGCGTTGGCGCAGATCTTCTTGATCTTCTCAAACAAAGGGCCGGCCTTGTCGGGCGTCAGCCAATCCCATATCTCGGGGTCGGGACGGATCCTGTGTGAGCAACGGAAAAGAGAGCAAAGGGATTCATTTAAATGTGTCCGTCAGAGAGTGTGCGTGGGGGAGGGGGTACCTGAAGCTGTCCGGTATCTCCTGCACTCCTGCGGTGGTGATTTGCATCACCTCAGAGTTGTTGTTCTGCTGGTAGGTCTCGCCCCCGAGACGCGCCTGAAGGACAGTGCACAAGTAGAACACGGGCATTTCTCAGTCCATTCATCGCATTCCCTCCATTGATGGTGGCCTGTCTGACTGACCTTTCCATTTCGGTGTATGTATATCCTCAGGGGGTCCCAGAAGACCACCATGAACACACGAATGTCGAACTTGCGACCATCCCACAGCAATGGATTGCTGCACGCATGGCAGCGAGCAGTCGATGCACAACAGGCAACGACGCTCAACACGCTCTGTGTGTGCGTGTGTCTGCTCACTGGATGTATCGTTGGTAAAGCAGGTGCCCGTAGCTCCACTTGGAATCGTGATCCGCCTCCCCGTCCCAAGCGGCCACATTGCCCGTCCCCTCCCCCTCCTGCATGAACCGTCTTGCCCTCTCGACGGCCGTGTGGCCCTCCCAGTGGATCTGGTGCCCGATGCCGCCCGATTGTGCGGGCTGCTTGCTGATCCACACCTCCCGTGGATGCTCAGCGATGTAGCTCTCGAGAGCCGTGGCGTTCTCGGGAACCACGAAACACGGGAGAGAAGTCTGCACGCCTACAGGGCACAGGACAACGAAGGCGGCGTGTGACGGTCTGGCGCCGAGTGCCATATGCGTCGCTCACCCATGATTTGGTCCGGTTCGAATTCCCTGGGGTCGCCGTTCTTGACGGCCCGACAGAAGGCCGTCTTGCGGTAGGCCTCCTCACACGTGCCGGGCACATGATTCACCATTCCAACCTGATGGTCGCAACCAGTACACAGCGACTGCTCTGTTGCGTGCCCTTTCTCACCTCCGTAAGTGCCTTCATGTCATATTCCCTGAGCTTCGGCTCGCACCCTTGCTTGCGGATCCACAAGACACCAAAATCCCTGGGTGGCGGCTCGTGATCGATGGCGATCTGCAGCCCCAGGCCACCCCACATGAACATAAAGGCGTCAGCAAAGTCGCCATAGGCCGGCGTGTGGGGATGCGAATCCAGCCGGATGGTCGGAGGCAGTGAAGGAGCCATCACACTGCTGTCGAAAGGCGATTGCACCCCATCCTCATACAGCGAAAGTGGCCCTCTCGGTGGCGTCAAGGGCAGCTGGTCGCAGATCTCGCGCAAGGGATCGATCGTCTCATCGCCAAGCCAAGATGTCAGCGCAGAGAAGAGCGTCCGCCTCGGAAAGAGGGTCGATGAGCGGCCGCCTGGCTCTTCTCTCGTCGCCCGTCGCTCGGGGGACACCCAGGTCCACATCGTCAGCACATGCGGTGCAGGATGCGGCAGCTCGATAAAGTTGAGAATCACAACCAGGATGAACACGAGAGGGAGGGAGTTGAGCAGCAGGCTGATGCAGAACGTTGCTGTGCGGTGCCGCTTGACCCATAGCCGCGATGCGGGTGGGAGTGGAGGTGAGGGAGGGGCAGCGGCAGACCATACGTGGCCGAAGTAATAGCGCAAAGTTGAGCTGACTGATGGCCACAAGGGCAGATGGCGGCCGTGCGGACGGCGCTTCATGGATAGAGGCAGCGAATCTTCGCAATCCGAGCCGCCCATTCTCTCAGATCAGGAGGAGCTTCGAGAAGGGATGAAAATCTGAAGCCGCAGGGAATGCATCATCAGATCTACCTGAATCACTGCGAGCTCAAACCTGGAGCGATCCTGCCGGCTGCCGCTATTCTGTATCGTCGTCGCCGTTTTGAGCATCGTGTAGATGACATACTGTTCCTCTTCGTCCATCCCATCAAAAAGATGGGCAGGTGACTCATCGAAGCAGCATAAAAAGCACAGCCTCCGATGCATACGCCAGGCGGGCGCTGAGGATGGTGCTGGCATGTTTGTCGCATGATTGAGGGTTGGTCGATGTTGACGCAGTTCGTTTCATGAGAGACCGACAGACTCTGCCTGCCCTTGCGCTATATATATATATGAGTTAACGTATGTCACACAGCCTCAGAAGGCCAGAGACTGCTGCAGAGGGCGGCAGATCAGGTGCATGTGTCAAAAAAGATGGAAAAGAGTAGAAGAGATCGAATTCATGGCCGCAAGAGAGTTCACGCGGCCCTGCGATCTGAATTCTCACAGATGAAGACGGGCTAGAAACGGGCTTGTGAGTACTTGTGAGCAATGACTAAAGTTTTTCACATCCACGCCACATCAGAACTTTCTCATGTTCGTGCTCTTACGAAAGAGCATAGTTCATGAGGGATCAATGCATTTTCAGTCTGCTGCATTTTCTGCGCATGCATTTGTACGAGTCACTCACCAAAGCACATGCCACGGGAAACGATCGCAACCGAATATAAAATGTAGGCAACGATAAAGGCAAGGGCTGCAGCGGACGGAGAAGGGGCCGAGGAATTCCCAGACCCCCTTGTTCCCCCGCCTGCTTGGCCTTGCTCGCCCGCTTCTGCTTGCCCTCGGTGCTGGTGGGTGGTCTTCGTCTTGGTGGTGGCACCGTCCTTGGGCAGCTCGTAGTTGGCCGTGATGTAGGCAGCGACTGTAGCCTCGATGCCCAGGTCATGCTCGTCCAACGCCCGCTGCTTCTGCTGCTCGCCACGCCGCCTGTTGATGGCCTCCTCCCTCTTCTTCTGCCGTGCCTCGTTGGCCGCCCTGAGGGCCATGCAGGCCTCGTACGCGTCGTCGCCCGTCCGATCGTCGATGACCTCCTGGAGTTTCTGGATGATCTCACGCAACTGCGAATTGTGGTGCACACACACATTGGAAGAAAGGCGGCATGAGGAATGCGAAGAGCGTGGTGCCTTCCTTCCCCCCCTACCTACCTCGGCCAACAGGTCCTCCGCCTTCCTCTGACCCACCAAACATACACACACAGACACGGAGGAATGCATCATTCACTCATCGCAGCGGACAGCCACGTGTATGCCCTCTGCGCTGCCCACCTTGAGGGTTTCGTCTGTCCAGTGGCAGCTGCCAAACTCGGCCTTGAAGAACTCGTAGGCCTCGGACAATTGCTGGAACTGTTCCTTGGACCCGCCGGGCTTGTCCTGATGAACCTTCTGCACACACACACAGAGCCCCGCATGCCGCGCGATACGCTGCACCCCTTCTCTTGTGCTAGCGGCGCCGCTTCTCACCAGAGCGAGTCGTTTGTACTGTTTCCTGATCTCATCAAAACTGCTACCGGGCTTCAACCCGAGCACCTCCCAATACGTGCGGCGGCGATCCTCTGGAATCACAGGCATGGGGATACTGGCCTGATACTCGTCCTCGAGCTTCTACACTTTCTCGCATCCGGCTTTGATCTGGTGCTGTATGTAGTTCTGTATCTTCTCCGCGCTCACACGCAACGGGACGTGCAGCCCGACGCGATGGCGGGGGAAGCCCAGCGGACCGAACTCGCCAGACTGATCGATACCCACACACACATACACACACGCACACGCACACACACATCCATCGGTGTGGGTGTGGGCGTCTGTGTGTCTATGCTCGGTCGGTCATCTCACTCACATAGTAGCGTCCGCACCCCCAGACGTTGTGTGTTTCGGAGAGGGCGAGCCAGTGCGTCGCCCCGCACGCCACCTGTCGGCTCGGCCACACCACACCACACAGTTCAATCGTGTACGCGTCATCCGTAGCTGGAGGTAGGTAAGTAGGTACCTGCAGAATGCTGGTCGGCAGTGCCGCCACCCGAACTGCACGCCACGCCCACACACAACGCGACACAACACATACATAGTGCTGACATCGATCCGATTTGATCTCCGTGTGACCAGTTGGTTGAACTCACCGGCCGGGCCACACACACCGCGCTTGCACACCGCTGAGCCCAGGAAGAGCACACGCAACACATCCAGCATATGGATGGATGGATGGATGAATGGATGGATGGATGAATGGATGGATTTCTCCCTACCCAATTGGTAGACGTCGCCGCTCTGGGTGCGCGCCACGCCCTTCTCAACTCCTACTGCTACCTCACACACCTCAACTCCCTCCAGAATCTACATACACACACACACACAGGTGGGCATTTGTATACGTGTGGGTGTCTTGCTCAGCTCACCTTGGTCACATTGTTGGCAACGGTGGCGCCGTCGTCCGTGAGCTGCAGGTCGACTTCGTACAGGTCACCCGCTGCCTGGCTGCTGGAGTCGGCGACGATCACGTACACCGTCACCCCGTCGCCTGCTCCTCCAGCCCCGCAGATGCACCGACACTCGACAAGAACCTGCTCTTGGCACACACCCAAAGGGCGTAAGAACGAAATCAAAGGGACAGACATGCGGCTGGCATTGAAAAAATGGTTAGGACAGGCGAAAGCAAAACGCACCAGTCATGCACCCTGAGTGTTGATGAAGTAGTGGAGCACCGCGGTGCTGCTCCCCTCGCCCTGTTGGCGCGGTCCAGCTGGGCGAGCCCCCCCCACAGCCTGTTGGTCATGTTGGCGATGGGGGTGTCGGTGTAGAAGGTGCCGCCGAAACGCACGACCGTGTTGCGTCCGAAGCCACGGATCCTCTCACGATTGTTCATGACACACCGAAAGCCTGATCACACGCACTAGTGTGCGGACCTGCAGTCCTCGTTGCCATTTCTGCCGGAGCCTGTCGCGCCTCGCCACCCACTGGGCGTCGCCCACCTTCTCCCCCTGCTGCCTCTCGTCCGACGGCTGCCTCTTCATCAGCTGGAAGTACCTCTCCAGGTCGCGGTGCAGCTGATGCAGCCGGAAGACGACGACGCCGAAGAGGCAGCTCTCCTTCCTGCCTTGGGTCTGCAGCTGCGAGGACACGTTGAGGCCGTTGGCGCGGTCCAGCTGGGCGGGGCCCACCCACAGGGTGTTGGTCATGTTGCCAGTGGGGCTGTCGGTGTAGAAGGTGCCGCCGAAACGCACGACCCGTGTTGTTCCCGAGGCCACGGATCACCTCGCGGTAGTTCATGACACACCGAAAGCCTGAAGCACACACACACACACACACACACACACGATGAATGGATGCATGCCTTGTGTGGTGTGTGGATGCGGCTGGTCACTCGCCTGCATTTTTGATGAGTATCTCGAGCATTTCCGGCATTCGTATGCGCTGAGAAAGCCGCACAGGCGCCCTCGACGCCGTCGACACGACCACCACACCGCCTCCCTCCCCCCCCTCCGGCCTGCGGCGCTTGTCCGGCACACACTCAGACGAGGTCGATGGCTGTGGTGTGGCTGACGAGGGCGGCCCGCGGCGATTCGAGCGCACCTGATGGCGCCATCGAGGATGGTGCTATTCCTGCGATGGACGAAAGTGGTTGAATGTACTATACTCTTGTTATCCTTTTCTTTTTTTGTCCCGTCTCGGCGAGATTTTGCGAGCTCGCTTCTGAAGCGGTGCTTCCGAGCTGAGCAAGAAGACGTGTCAACGTCTAAGGCTGCTCACCACACTTGATAAGGATGCAGCCGTCAGCAGCTGACGAATCAGTGAGTGAGGCGACGCTCGCCTCCGTGCGGGAGCAGATCCTCAAGAGCGATGCGGAGAGGAAACGAAGACAGGAGACACTCGACCGCCTGCAAGTAAAGGCCTGCTCCACATGTCCATCCACAGCAGGGCAGTCGATGCGGCCGTGTGTCGCATTTTGTGTTGTTCGCGTGTGACAGGATCAACTGCGAAATCTACAGACAGAGCTGGCGGGCCGCGAGGAGGAGCTCAATTTCGTCAAGGAGAGGCTGCACATAGAGGAGCTGCGGGTGGGTACACCGGAGGAGAGATCTGTCTCTCGGCGTCTCCATCTTTATGTTGTCAGAGGGAGGGTCAGAAGGTGAGCGCGGCGGCGCAGAGCGAGAATGACCGGCGGGAGCTGGAGCGGCAAAGACATGCACGCAAAGTCTTCACTCAGCTACTGAGACAAAGGTGGCTTGCATTCGACATACAGGCAGGCGTTGTGTTCTCTCTCTCTCTCTCTCTCTCTGTGTGTGTGTGTGTGTGTGTGTGATGCATGAATTGGTGAAGGATCCCTGCCTTGAATCCCCAGGCGGAAGAGGAAGGCGATGCTATGGCAACCCAGCAGTCATTCTCTCCGCTGTCGCGCACAAAGACAGAAGTGGCGCGCAAGTGAGGGCCTATGCTGCACTCTGCATTCTGTATCGTCTTGCTGTCATGCAGTGCCAGGCGGCGTCAAGAAGAGGCGCAGCGCGAGATGCAGCGCAACTGCGTCGACACGGTGCTGGTGCTCTTCTACCCAATCGAATCGGTGGACGTCAAGTATCACCTCTCTTACAAAGTCGAGGCGAGCACAACGCTGTCCGAGCTAAAAAGGGGTGACTTTGGGAGACAGCGGCAGTTGTTTACAGCGATGCAGTCATATTGATCGCATGTGCATGTGTGTGATAGATGCGTGTGAGTATTGGGGTGTGAGTGAGCTGGACTATTTGCTGGAGAATGACTTGGTGGCCAGAATGCCAGAAGACGTCAACGAGAGGCCAGGCTTCCACGCGACAGGCGCAAGGACACAGGTGGAAGATGCCGAAGACAACGTGCAGGTAATCAGAGGTGGTCGAGTCATCGAGTCATAGGGTGATTCATGTGGGTGACGTGTCTCGTCGTCAGCAATTCTTTTGGTACGGCGACAATGCGGTTGGTGAGGCAAAGTTGTTCCTGCACCATCGCGATCTGACCGTCGACGCCATCTACCAGCTTGAGACACGAGACAAAACAAAAGGCTCAAAAAGAGTACAAATGACACATGTTCACACAGGAGACAAACCTCCTTGCATTCATGGCTCCTGCTGCTCACGTTCAGGAGCTCTTCAGCATGGCTCTACCTGACTTCGACCCATTCGCCTTCCTCGACCCGAACTACGGCCAGGAGGATGAAGATAAGAGGAAGAGGGAACAGCAGGAGCAGCAAGAAGAGGAAAAGGATACAAGAAACCTCCTCGAGAAATTCCCAGGTGAGGGAAAGGATTCAGTACTGAGCATGCACGCAATGCTATCTTTTGCTCTCGCATCAGGACTGCATGACTTATGGACCCTGCAGGATGAGAGCAGGACTGCCCACTTAGCCACTGTCAAGCTGCGCGACCTGTGTGTGATTGCTCTGCTCATCGCCCTATCAACATCCCTGTTCTTTCTGCAAAATCCCCCTGGTGACACGTACTGGGTGACGCAGGCCGTCCGCGACCAGTTTGTCACCTCACAGTACCTCCCACAGCAGGGCATTCTGACGCAGTCCTTGAGGACCGTCCGGCGGCCGATGCACGTGTGGCTTTGGCTCAACACTACGCTGCCATTCGTTTTGTTGGATGACGAAAGCTTCATGAGACGGTACTCGCTCAGAAAGAGTGGCATCCACAAGCATACGCACATGTGCGTGTGTGCAGGTACCAGGCGCCTGTTGGTCTGATGCGCTTGAGGCAGCAGCGGGTGAAGAATGACGACTGCAAGAGGAAGGGCCTCAAAGACGTCGCCACACGTAGGAGACACGACGATTGCTGCCATCACTCGAATCGCTTTATATACCTTCGCCTTCTAGAGTGCGGTTCGCCGTATGTCGACAGCAACTCGATGATGGCCGACGACCTCGACTTTGAATGTAGGTCCGCATGCATGCTACACGTCGTGTTTGTCGTCAAGTATGGCCCTCTCCTTGTCCGCAGTGAGTCTCCCAAGTGATTGCTTCTCAAATGGCCTTGGCTGTGCGTCGCCGAACAAGTTTGTTACTGCAAAGACGGCGAGGAAGTCGTCAGGGGTTGGCGGCAGCAGGTGAGAGAGGATGCTGACGCAAACACGTGTCACTGGGAGCATTGCATTGTTCAGGGGCTGGCTGCAGACGTATGACGCGTCTGGGTACGCCCTTGACGTCCCCATGCTCACCACAGACCCTGACACATTCATCGGGTGAGCCGGGAGGAGAAGTCGCACTATGCAACACACACCCCTGGATGCATGTCAGGCTGATGGGTACCTTGTCTCGTGTGGACTGGATCGACGACAGCAGCCGGCTGGTGGACGTCGACTTCACAACATACAATCCCAACTACAGATACGGGTGAGCGAAGGAAGGGGGGAACGTCTGTATGACTTGCGCATCTTTTTGCCATTCCTTTCTCTGTCAGCCTGTCCTGTCGCTTTCTCTTCGAACTCCCTCCATCCGGTGTGGTCGTGGCGTCACAGATCATACGCATTTTCAGAGTACACAAAAGCAACAGAACCGCATCACCCGTGCACCGTGTGGGTGTTGTCTGCAGACGCACGTCGCCGAGAGCAGCATGGACGAGCCGACAAAGGTGATTGAGGTCATCCGCCTTGTGCTGGTGCTCTATGTTGCGATTGTCATCAACACCATCGCCGTCAGAGACACAATGAGGAGAAAACAGACGTGTAATTAGCATTACTAGCCAATCAGAGACGCTGCCCATGCATGGACACCTTTGGTGCCGTGTCTGTGCAGGGTGGCGGTATTTCACGACGGATATCGGCATCATCGACCTCTGCATATCCCTCATTTTTATCGCCCTCGGCTTCGTCAAGGTGCTGTATTTCAATTCGCCGTCGACTGACATCATCGAGCGGTCCAAGGGCACGTTCCGCAGCTGGGCGACACAGAGCGCTTACTACGAGAGTCTCTGGATGCTGGAGGCCGTCTTTCTTCTATTTCTGTACGTGCGTCTTGTGTCGTTTGTCCGCCTCTCCAGAATGGTCAGCTCATTACCTTCTGTGGGCTGCCTTCTCGCTGCTGATTGTGTCTCCTGTGTGTGGTGTGCAGGGCTATGTGGTGTGGACCACCTTGGCTGTCTCCGTCGGCCGTTTCTTCTGGTATTTGTTCATCTTTGTTCCCATCCTGCTGGGCTGTACGTTCGTCGCTTTTGCAATCTGGGTCAGCAAACTGATCAGTCCGAGAGCCTACACGAACGACTTTCGCTTGCTTGTGTGTCTTTTTCAGGGTCAGCATCGGTCGACTTTTTCAACTTTCCAGATGTCGCTTTTGGCTGTGGTGGTTCAGCTACAGGGGTGAGACACTGCTCAAGGAACGCACGCTTATGGTATTGTCTGCTCGCCCTTGAATGCAGGCAAATGGACATGCATGGCTTGATCCAGACCTGGAGGCCTTTCACTTCTGTCTATGCGGTGAGGAGACAAAAGAAGGAGCAATGAATGCTGCTGCACCTATGACCTGTTGTGTACCCGCCTCTATGTGCAGTGTCTCTTCATTTTTGCTGTACTCTTTCTCCTGCTCAATGTATTCATCGCCATTGTGGTAAGCAAGTACTGATCCAAATGCACGTCTCTTGTGGTCATGCATGCATGCATGCATCCTTTCTCGTGTAGGTGGACAGCTACTATAGGACTCGCATCACACACGGTCGATGAAGGAGACATGCTCTCCTGCCTGCCAGCATGGATGTACCGGCTGTGTTTGTTGTTAGGTGGCTATGGCGGCAAGGCCAGTTCGTATGTGTGGAAGGCATCGCAATGGATCGAGTGGGTCTTCCCCCGTTTCATCGCATCCATTCTAATCAAGCTCATTGGTGGGAGCCTAATCCCCTCTCTGAGCTTCTTCTGAGTCGGTACCTATTCTAATGCGTGTTCGTGTGTGTGCAGGTCTTGATCCCCCTCCGAAGAGGGAAGAGGATCAGCGCGAGAGAGGCAATGAGTTCTGACAAGCTCGATTTGGACGAGAGGTTACGCTGAAGCTGTGTGTGTGTGTTGATGAGTTGAGGGTGGCCGATGTGTGGGGATGACTGTGTCTGTGTGTACATGACGTCGTGTGTGTATATATGTATGTGTGAGTTTTGATCAAAACGGACCTGGATTGGTGAGATCGGGCAGGTGTTCCGTCAAACCCATAATCGACCGAACACCAATAAGGACGCAAGAAAACTCTCATCTGGTGGCGGTGCTTGCCTTCTGGCACGATGTCAGAAAGATCTTTCGCTTTGCTTTACGACAGTTGATTCACAGTGAGTGAAGGAGTGTCTTGGAGGCGATGGCTCATCATGCACCTCTTGTGTCCATGTGGTGTCTGTTTTGCCTTTGACTGATGCAGATAGATAGCCGCCTGAGCGCTCATGTCCACGGAAGCCAACTCCGAGGAGCTCTCCGCCGGCAGCCCGACGGAAGACAGCAACAGCCCAGACAACAGAGGAGATGCCAGCCAGCAGGAGCAACCACAGCAGCAGCAGCATGAGTGTATGAGTGGCAACCCGGCAGAGGAGGGATCTGGTGGGAGTGGGCGGTCTGGCGATGAGTCGTACGGGAGCGGCCCTGGTGACCGCACAGAGAGTGCGTCGTCTGCCCCGCCACCAGCATCTCCCCACAGAGAACGCAAACCTGCGACTGACAGCAACAAAGCTACCTCTCGGCAGCTCGCGTCCGCACCCCCCATCGCAATCCAGCGTCCGCCAATGCCAACTGGCGCCATCGACACACACCAGAGTCAGCAGCAACCGCAGCCATCCGTCCCCCGTGGCCAGTCCATGCAGCTCACCCCCATCGCCTCACAAGCAGTCGACGCATCGGCTGTGGGCGGCGTCCCCATGCAGCAGCAGGAAGGGGGCTCGAGGCTGACGGGAGAGGCGAAGGACGGCGATGGGTCCGTAGAGGATGACTCCCTTGCGGACGCCACAGCGGTACGGACAGACAGGCACGAGGGAGGTTCGTGCATATGTGTGTGATGTGTGGGTCTGATTGTCAGGACGGCAGCCGTCAGCCCCCCACTGCTTCCGATGTCTGCATATGCACCCAGCAGCAGCATGCCGTCGACCCCACCAGCTCCATGATCGACCCATCGCCACTCGCCGCAGCGGCGGCATCAGCGGATCGGCAACCAGCGAGTCCCTCTTGCCCATCCCCTCCCTCCACCAACTCACCCATCTCACCCGACCAGCAACACACGGCCAACGCGCGGCAGGGCCAGGCGTCTGGCTCTGATGCTGCTGCCATCACGTGCGCCGCTGTTGATGCGCTGCTGGCTGGTGACATCGCCCCCTTCGTTGAGCAAGTGAAAAAGCTCAGGGAAATGCCGCTGTTGCCGTATCGTGACCCAGCTGTCGGGCGACTCGTGCTCTCGCTGGCCGCCAAGAAGGACGAGGCGCACCGACAGCAGGGTCAGGGAGGCCTCGCCGGCTGCATTGTGGGCCTCGTCCGTGACAGCAGCGACGCATCGATTCAGGCTGCGGTGGGCTGCTTCCTCGCATGGCTTGATCAGGCTGGGTACCCGTTTGGTGCGGAGTGGCTGCCACTGTTTGGTGTCTTGGTGGAGAGCACGGCGGGAAGGCTGAGACTACCAAGCCAAGTCTTCATGGCAGCTAGAGGAGTGATGTGCAGCGATACAGTCCAAGGTGACCGTGTGGTGCGGCAAACATGGCTCTCATCCTTCCATGCATCTGTGTGTCTTTGCTGCATCGCGCAGTGACGGCTGAGGATCTGGGGGCATTTCGAAAGCACATGTTCTGCCACATCGATGGTCTCGTCGAGACACTGGTCACCAGCAGTGATCAGGTGATTGTGTGGAGGGCATACGAGCTGATAGGCATCATCTTCTCATGTGCCTTCCGCTGTACCTCTGACCCAGGTGCGGGACACGTAGATACGGAGGGGACTCGTTGATTCGTCACACCACTGCTGCGTGTGTCGGTATTTGTACGGATGCAGGTGTGTTGGCGCCAATGTGTCGTACTGTGTCAGCGAGCCCCGCTGCCCTGGGCAAGATAGCCACAATGCTGAAGGACCACGCCGCCTGTGAGTGGCTCGTCTTGTTCTATCTAAACGTGCCATTGGCAATGGCTGGTGAGTAATGGTGCATGGTGAATGCCGCTATTCATTTCTCCTGTACGTATGTGTTTCCTCAGAATCGGGCTACTGCGAGCGCCTCGTGCAGGCGGGCTTCCTCTCGGCGACGTTGAGCGTCATCCACACCCACCGATACACACCTGCGTCAATGACCCCTCTTCTGATCCGTGCTCTCGGACCTTCGATCCGTCTGCTCGGTCTCATACTTGCTCGTAACTCGGTCAGTCAGCAAACACCACAGTGGATGCGTCACTGTGTTAGCCCTCGGTGTCTTCGCTTTTCCTCAGTATGCATCGTGTGAGGGCCTGGCCGAGCTCATGTGCTCCCACCTGTTGAGTGTTGTGACACAAGACACTGAATGTCTGGCATCCGTCTCTCGCGGCGGCACCACCATCAGCAGCGTGCTTCATATCCTGGGCAGCCTTGCCAGGTGTGTCTATCCCTCATGTCTTGAGTGCACCGAGTGAATTGTCTCCATTTGTGCAGCTATTGGGATCGGGAGCTGATCAGCGGCAAGGCCAAAGACAATCCTATCGTCGAAAGTGTTCTGCAGGTCAGCAAGGTCAAACGATTACCGAATCCGCGGTCATCTTTGCGTGTCTGCTGCTGTGTGACGCCCTTCATTTGCAGGTGGACATCTCTGCCCTGTCCGTGCCACCCATTGCGGCGTCACACGACAGCCTCACACAGGATGTGAGTGAATTGCGATTCAGTGCCAGCAACATGCAAGCCCACAAGTCTCTTCACCTGTGTGCATGGCTGCAGATTGCGGAGATAATGTATTTCTTCGACAACTTTCGCCGCCGCAAAGTCTGCCGTACATAAACCGATCGATCACCGCTTGCCGCTGTGTGTGTTCCTTGAAGCAGGTGGCGATCGATCGGTGGGTCTCATCGCTGCAGGACCCGCAGAGAGAGGCCGCACGGCAGCAGAACAAGCAGGTGCGTACAGAGAGAGCGAACATGTACGGCAGACCTCTCACATGTGCTGTCTGTTTCTGTCAGAATCCCATGGTGCGGTGTTTGTCGGACAAGCGAGTCCTCCACACCGTCTATCGGCTTGTTGGGCCGTTGAAGTTCAGGCCTGCACGCGTCGCTGTGCTGGCGGTCTCGTGTCGAAGTCTGCTAGACGCGTAAACAGTCATTCAAACACATACCGACATACAGACGCACCTGCACTCCATGGCGACTTCGTGCTGGCTGGTATTAGGCTGTGTCCCGTCCGCTCGACGGACCGCATCTCATCGTATGCCAATCGCGAGCTGCTGGCGCCAGAGGCATGGATCAAAGTCAGCAATCACTGTCGGCTGGCGGCGGCATTGGCGAGGTACGTCGATGACAAGACATGACGGACAGCTATTCACTCATGTTCACGGTGTCATCTTTGCCATCAGGTATTCAACCGGTATGATGTTGACATTGTCGATCCGCTGGGAGTGCTCATTGACCGCTGATGACATCAGCGACCTCATCGGCTTCCTCGAGGAGGCCGACCATCTCATTGCACTGAGCCTGACCGGTAAGGCTGTCGCAACAGAACGCGCACCTTGCCGTTTGTTTTGTGTACCGCTCAGATGTGGATTTGCGCGAGGTGCCCGATGACGAGTGCACCCGGCTCGCCAATGCCATTGGCCACCTGCCCTCACTTGCCGTGCTGTATCTGGTCCGCGGACACCTGATCCCTGCCTTTGCCGACCGGTTGAGTGCTCTGCTCAAGGCCAAGCCCGAAGGAGACGGCAAGGACGACGGCAGCAGCAGCAGCAGCAGCAGCATTTCCTCCCCACCACCGTCATCATCGCGTGACGTGACGCACATGCCCAGCACATCGTCGGCTGCCGTACCGGCAGACTCGGAGGGGGATGGACAGGCGACGACAGAGGAGGGGCAGACGGCCAACGCGGGGGACGACACGAAAGAAAGATCCTTCGCCGAGCTCGGGTATCGGCGTACGAGAAACGAGAAACGGAGCATTCACTGAGGCCGTTTGATGTATGCATACAGGCGGATGACAATCTTATCATGTCATGTGTCGTTCAAGTGCTGTGTAAACTTACTCGAGGTGGGTCGGGCCGTCGAAAAACAAGGGAAACCAAGGACAGTTTTGGCTGTATTTGTGTGCCGTATCGCCTGCAGGGCCTGTGTGGCAAGTCGTTCGAATATCTGGAGCTGTCGGATGCTGTCTTGACCACGTCTGGCAACGAAGCCAATCAACACGATCAACTGCAGGTCTGGAAAGCACTAATCACAGTGAGAGATACATTTTCTGGTGGCATCTTTCTTGTCTGCAGACAGTGCTGGAGCGCCTCTTCGGCACCATTGCGTGTGAGGAGATCCAGCTGTCCTTCGCTTCGGTTGGCGAGCTGTCGCTGCGCACCGTTGAGGATACAGTCAGATCTGCCGCGACGGCTGGCCTCAGGACCAACCCCAACCGGCGCACTCTCAGGTAGGCCACAGACACCCGTGTGTCTACGAGGTGTACGCAGCTGACTGTGTGTGTCAACTCAGGAACCTAGGTCTGGCTGCCAGCGCAATCAGAACTGCGTCCTTCCTCCACTTCGTATTGAAGGACCTCACACTATCGCGCCTCTCTCTCATATGTACGTGAAGCCACTAGCAAGCTTCGCGTACATGGGTCTGCTTCATATGTGTTCAATCGGTAGCATCTGTGCCGCTGGGCCAGCTCGTCAGCCAGCAGTTCCTGTCGAGTGACAACTTTGAGTCATTGGTGCATGGTGCCGTCACCAGGGCCGATGAGAAGCGTGAGAGTGAGCTCCGAGCCGCACTGGTGTCAAGGAGCGTCAGTGGGCGGCCGATGACGCCCGCCTGCCGCCGGCGGCTGACGCAGCTGAGGAGGACCGACGGATGGCGGCACGGGAGAGGAGGGAGGAGAGGCTGCGGGCAGAGGAGAAGGAGATCAGAAGCAATCCGTCGTTTGTTCTGGACCTCACAAGTACGTGAATGTGCAGAGATGGCAAGTCAGCTTGTGCGACTATGCGGTTGTGCCTGTGGTACGATGCAGATGTGCCATTCACTTCTGTCAGCGCCTCTGATCGCTTCTTGATCGGCGTGATCGAAGAGATCAACAAGAAGGAAGAAGTGAAATACGCCTACAAAGAGCCAGTCATCGTGACAGGTGAGCCCACTAGGTAGACTACCGCCACTTCCTCCCTCTTCCCACTTGCCTGCCACCTGTCTGTTTAGATCTCAGCTCCGTGTCCGAGGAGCTCTATGTCGAGCCCTCATCGAATCTCCCCAAGCACCTCTGTGAGGTCCTGGTGCGGTCCTACAATACAAGGCGCCCACTCACGTGGCTCCAGACGGTCATCCACAAGGCCCCCACACTGCTGACCCTGTACATCAACAGCGTATCCTGCGACAGCCGACGCCCCGTCTTAGCATCCCGCTTCCAAGACCCCTGCTCTGTGACGGCGGCTGACCTGGCCATGTATGGCGAGTGCGTGGGACAGCTCGAGGCTCTCAAGGACGACCCTGCCGTCAACTACATCAGTCAAAAGGATGTCGATGAAGCACGCACCGCCCTTAATGGTGAGTGGGCTGAGAAGGGGGAAATGCGCAAAGTCACACATATGCATTATCTCGTTCGTTGTGTTGTGGTCAGAGGCCATCAGCCTGGGCCAGGAGCAGGAGACTGTGCATCTAGCGGTACACGAGATCACACGCTGCGGATCGTCTGTTGCCGACTACTGTGCGATTATCATTCAGGCTTTGTGTGAGAAGCAGAAGCGGGTTGCCGTCATTGACAGCCTGCTGGCGACGCTGCAGACCAAGCTCAGCGACCTCGAGGGGCAGAGGGACAAGGCCGCTCTGTCCAAGGCCGAGGAGGGGGACATCGACAGCATCGACGCCAAGATCGCCCGCGTCAACGAGTAAATCAACAAGAACACCGCGGCAAGGGCAGAAGTGCTCAGGGATATAGGTATGAACAGCAGCACCAGACGCAGACACATTCCGCATACATGGGATGGCATTCTTATGTCAGAAGCGCTTCAGAGATTTGTCGCAGGCAAGGAGCCCCCCGTCGACGGCCAGCCCAAGAGCCGCTGTGAATTGGTGCGCGAGCAGCTGCGTGAGAGACTGGAGGTCAAGCAGAAGCAAAAGGCCCTGCAGGAGCGACGCATGAAGCGCCAGGCCGATAAGAAGACCGACGATGTCGCCAGTGCTAAAATGGCCGCTGAGGAGGCGGCGGCCCGAAGAAACGAGAAGGACCTCCTGCGTCCATCGGCGAGCAGGTGTCTGACGATAGTGACGACCAGCAGCAGCAGGGCGAGGGCGGCAAGAAGGCCAAGAAGAAGCGACGACCCAAGAACAAGGGACCACGGGCTGCCCCATCGACCGCAGCACCGCCATGTCCTCTGGCGGACGGCAGCGCACCTGTGCGTGAGGGAGGAGAGGCGGATGGTGGTTTTAAGCTTGTGGACAGCGAGCCGTCCAGCAGCCTCCTTCATGTCCCAGCTGTCGCTGCTGGTGCCGCTGCTGCTGCCATGAGCGCTGCCAGTGGGTCTCTAGTTCCTCAGGCTCTGACGACCGCCCCCATGCCCCCGCTGCCCGGTGGTGGGCGTGAGTTTGGTGCTGTGGGTGACCGTCGTTGGGGTGGTGATGAGCGCCTGGCTGGCCAGGTGGACGTGGAGACCGATGGAGGGGCGGCGGGGCATCGTGACGACGGGCGTGTGAGTGTTGGAGGCGAGACTGAGGCGATGCGGGCCAGGTGGGAGGTAGACTAGGCAGTTGACCGAAGGGGAAGGGAAGAGGGTGCTGTGGTGTCTTTGCGCACGTTTGTCAGGTTTGCTGCTGAGTTGATGCGCAGGGACCAGCAGATCAAAGCCCTGCGGTGAGAGAAGAGAGGGAGAGAAGAGGAGAAAGAGGGTTAGATTTATCACCGATGTCTGCCTGCAGGCATGAGTCGCTGGCCGCGCGTCGAGAGATTGAGCAGTACGCAGACATCAATATCCATCCACTTGGCTTTGTGCTCTTTTGTTGTTGTGTTGGTGTTGGTGTTGTATGCAGTTTGCGTGAGGCTCAGGCGGCCGGCGAGCAGACCGTCGCCGACACCCTGGCGGCCAACGAGCGGCTCCAGGCCGATATGAAGAAGGCCAATGAGGTCCACCGCCAGCAGCTCGGCCAACAGCACCAGCGGCTCACCAGGTGCGCACATCAAACAGGCAAGCACAAGGCACTTTACATGTCTGTGTGTGTTCAGTGAGATCGATCGCGAGAGGTCTCTCCGCGAGCAGAAGGAGGCGAGATGGGGCAGCTGCAACAACACTTGGACAGACATAAAAGGTCAGCCAGACATAAAACATTCACTGACCCACAAAGCAATGAATTGGACTCATGTTTGTTTCCTTACCTGTCAGTGCTGCTGCGGAGAGGGAGGCGTCACTCAGACAGGAGAACGCATCGCTAAGAGAGGAGACTGCCAGGTGCGCGACAGGCAGCTGACGCACACCTTGACAGAACGCCATGACGCTCATCTCCCATTGTGTCTGTCAGCCTTGGCGAGGCCAATCGTGCGCTGCAGGCCGACATATATCAGCTGCGGAGCAACCAGATCGACCAGTCAGTACCCACTCACAGAGCAAGGCAACACCAGTGATGTGATGTGGTATGGTGTATAATTCAGGTTGACCGAGACCTTCAATGGACTGACCACTGCAGACGAGCTCAGCGGCTTCGCTATGCAGCTGGCGGACCGCCAGACGGCCATCATGAGCACAGAACTGCCCCAGCTGCAGTCACTCGAGCGCCGGGCTCAGCAGGCGGCCCAGCAGAAGCGAGAGGCCGAGTTGCGTCAGCAAATGCAGCAGAGCAACCAGAGGGCACGAGAGGAGGCCATCGAGTGTCAAGTGTGCCAGGAGACGGAGAGGTCGGTGGTGCTGCAGCCGTGCGGCCACTTCTGCATCTGCCAGCAATGTGCACAGAACCTGCAGCCGCCCGAGTGCCCACTGTGCCGGCAGGTCTTCACCAGCTGGACCAACGCCATATTCTCGTGACAACAGATCGACCCACTGTGGGTGTGTGGAGGGGTGGGGCAGTGGTGCGGTCGAATACGGCATGATATCTATCATGGTGCTGGGTTTAAGAGCTTTGCTGTCGTGTGTGGGTGTTGGTGTCGCCTGTAGGCAGCCTTTATGGCTTTTTGCCCCCCTCATCGAATTCGTTGCATGTATGCATGTATAAATCTCATTCCCTTCTGCATACCGACATTCAGTTGGTGTATCAATCCGTCGCGTGTACATACATACATACATATAGGATCTCGTCGCGTGTACTTCCCTCTACCTCTACCTCAGTGAGTGCATTCATGCACTTGGCGTGGCGGTCATCCTCCAGGTCTCTCTGTATATCCAGTCACGCGCATCCGGAACAATGAATGAAATCTCAGTTATGTGTGTTCGTGTGACGATGCCGACTCGCTGTACCAGTTGATGTACAAATAATCGATTGAGGTACGTACACGTGTCCATCAATCAAGACACTGCACGCAGCATGCATGACACACACGAAAGCGACACAAAAGGGTCAAAAACGCACATGTCTTGCATTCACCTATCCCCTTTGCGTCACATGCAGCCAGAATAATTCTGTCTGTCGGCAACGTCCATCTATCTGCCCTCACGTGGCCACCCCACACCGTGCATCCCTCCCCCGTTCCACCCCTGCCAGCCCGGACCAGCCATACTCCCCAGGTTGCCACCCACGGTGTGGGGGCTCATGAAGGGCCTGGTGCCCTGCCGCTGACCTGGGCCGGGCTGCGTGCGCCACGGGGGGGCCATCGTGCTTGCGCCGTACATGGGGGAGCGGCCGCCACCCATGCCCATGCCACTGCTGCCGACAGACATGCTGCCCCCTCCCGCACTCATCGACATCATGCCACCACCACCGCCAGCACCGCCGAAATACCTGACAAGAGAAGGATGGCCAGCCACATACACACACGCAGATACAGAGAGGATCCACACCACAGGTACTTGCCCGTTCTGTGTGAGCGTCCTCCTCACATGTCTGTCGCGAATCCATGTCCGTGTGCCCCCGTCCCAGAGGCGCCTGGGCGTGGGAATCTAGGGCCGCCAACCATGCCCATCTTCATGGCAGTCGAGGGGCCGTGCATCGCCGGCACACCGGGACCCGCAGCGGCACCATCATAGGCCTGCTGCTGCTGCTGCGGTTGGGCATATGCACCCGACGCGACGAATGGTGTGCTGCTGCTGCTGCTCATGCCCGATGACGAAGGACTGACAAATCAAACACACAGCCGGGAGAGTGCAGTGCATTCGGGTGATCACTTTTGTCGCATGGTGTTGGTTTGTCTGCAATTCAAGTGCATACCCGGTACTATGTTGCCGCGCCTGTGGTTGCCCTGGACCGGCCGTCATCCCCTCTGCCTCCTGCAGCAGGCCGAGTGCGCGATCGTACTTCTTCTTGGTCACCATCTCCTCCAACATGGGCGTCAGCTGCACACACACAGACACGAACGTTGACCAACACATTAATCGATCAGTGAGAGGATGTGTCTTGTCGGTCTGTCTATCTGGCTATCTCGAGCACTCACCTCGGCCGCTACATCAGGGTGCCGCTCCTTGTCGAGGGCCGCGAGTCTGCGGCGGAGCACCTCCTTTCGCCACTTGGGTGGGTGCTTGAGGTGGCAATCCTGGCATTTCACGCCATGCCGACACCCCCCCGGCGCCCGCACGTAGTTGCAGGGATGGCACCTCCCCTCAGGATGGCCGATCGAGCCCACCGACCAGAGCTGCCCATCCTCGTCCACCGGGATGCTGTCGAACAGATCACCAGGGTCGACCTTCTCCTCCTCACCAGACCGACTCTCAGAGGGAGGTGGCCTCTTGACATACGGCAAACCCTCGTCATCGTCGCCCAGCGCACCGTCAGACACTCCCTTACCCTCCCCAGCACGCTTGCGCTTCCCGCCGAGCGCCTCATCGGACATGCGGTGGTCGGCTGGGAAGAAGGCAGGGGCGGTGAAGGGATAGGCTACAGCTGGCCCGGTGTATGAGGGGGCGATGGGAGCGGCGGTGGGGAGGTGAGGGATGGGGTCTGGGTGAGGAGAGGGAGGCAGGCCGCCCGCAACACCTTGACGTACAAAGATGAGATGGCCAGCATAGCCGAATATTCGACGAAAGCATGTGTTACCAAATGGCGGGATGTTCGGGTCAGGGGCCGCACGCATCGGGGGACTGTCGATGGGCTCCTGCTTGACGGCAACGAGGGGCTGCACACAACACAATCATTCGTGGACTCGATCAGGGTGACGAATGGATGAAGCATGTCGTCTCCCTTACCGCCTGCACATCCTGACGCGCCCCATCCAGCGGCTGTCCACCCTGGTCACCTGAAACGCACACATTCACATATACGCAGATAGACAAATGGATCGATCATTGGCATCCGGCTAGCCACCTTCTCGACTGGCATTTCCCTGCAGAGCGGCGGCGAGCTGCTGCTTTAGATCTGCCACCTGTCGATCCCTGTCGGCGAGCTGGCCTCGTAGCTGCTGTTCCTGCTGTTCCGACTCTGCATGCACATCCATCCATCCATCCATTCATCCAAGTATGCCAACCCAGCGACGTGTGTGCTGTGGCGTGCTGGCTATTCCCCTCACCTCCCTTTTCCTTCTTGACCTCGATGAAGCGCTCCTGCTGCATCTCGTCCCTCACCTTGTACTCGCGCAACTGAGAGGCCGCATGTGCAACATAACAATCACCCCCATCCGAATGCATGTTTGGCGAGCCCACCTGTTGCTTGTTTTGTTGGTCTATAGGGTCCCAGAAGCTAGACCCATACCTCACTAGCAACTCCTGAACATGGATGCATGCAGCATCCACCCATCCCTCTGTCGGCGTGCCTTTGTTGGCTGGTGAGTGAGCACCTACCTCCCCTTCGGCTACATCCTCCAGAGTGACGTGGCAGATGAGCGGGATGCCGTAGTATTGGCACGGCAGGACCACCACGTTGGCCTTCTTGCGCGTGAAACGAGGGTCATTCATCATCCCTGACACACATACATACACACATACAAACACAGACACACATCGACCCCGTCGGCGTGACCGACTCACCTGTGTGGCTGCGCATCCTTTGGGTCGAGCTCGAAGATGTTGTCCCCACCATCGTCGTCGTCATTGCCCTCGTCGTCCGTGTCGACTGATGGCCTGTTGCTCTTCCCGCGCCGTCCCTTGCCCCGCTTGGCCGCTCCCACCTGATGAGTGCCCGCCCCCTTGCCCGTCCGATAGGCCGTCACCGAGTAGGAGTAGTACTGGCTCCAGCCCTCCGACCGGAGGACCTTCTGCCGGTATGGGTTATTGTCGTCGTCGGGGATCAAGTCGCCGCCGTACAAACCTGACCAAGCCACATACACACACACACACACACATTGACGGACACTTCGCGAGTGCGGCGCTGGGTGGCTGAAGGTGGGGGTGGGGTCACCGATGGCAGTGTATTTGCCGATCTCTTTCTTTGCTATGGCCATGCAGCCGTAGTGCCCCTTCTTCTGCTCCGATCGGTCCTTGTAGGCGGGGTGATCCGTGTCGGTGATCTTGATGGTCTCGAGCAGCTCGTCCTCTTGCAGCAGCATCTCGGCAACGATGTCCTTCATCCGCGTGGCCGACACCTTCATGTAGAACGCCTTTTGGTGAGCGACCAGGTCCAGCGCTATGTTGGCAATCACTTCAGCTCGCTCCTGAACAACACATACACAGATATACACACACACACGTGCACACGGGCGTCTGGTCTGCGTGCCCACCTGCTGGAGTGGCAGCTTCAGATGCCGGAACTCCTGTCCGTTGTGCCACATGGTCTCGAAGATGCGACCTGGCGCATTGTTGACCGCTCCGTTGCTCTTCTTCTCGAGCAGCCGCCAGACGTGCTCCATGTTGATGGCCGTTCCACTGACGAAACGTACCTGCTCAGGCCAGTATCGCTCTGGGCCTGCTGCACACACATGACGACGGACAGCACAGCACACATACAAACGAATGGATGGGCCGTCATGTACGTGAAGATGGTGCACGTGTATCCGACCCACCTGATGCACGCCGCCATGCAGAGGTATTGGGCTGCCCGGCAGTTGGAGGCTCGGGGACGATAACCTGACAGCACAGAGCCAGACTCAGGCATCTTGCTGCGTGATGAGTGTCTGAGAATGGATGGCCTCACCGCCTCATCCCCTTCGTTCATCTTGAGCTGCTACAAGATCTTCAACCAGTGACCCTGCACGGCGCACATACACACACGTGCCGACATCTCAGCCATCCCTCTCGGCTGGTCTCACCAATATATGCTGCGAGGCCGTCACCGCGTCCACAGCTTCAAGATCGCAGCCGCACCAAGCCTAGAGGAACTCCCTGAGTGTGCGAGCTCAGGAGCTCAGGAATTGAGCGTCTGACGGTCACTGCTGGACAATACAAGCGGAATCCGATCCAAAGCCAGCCCTGCAGCTAGCCCTATGCATGTAAGGCCGCAAACGGAGAGGATGCGGCGAGAAATGGGAGACGGGAGACAAATTTCCTTTCGAAATAAACTACGATGAAAAGAATACATCCTTCTCTATTCCTCTCCAGCCACATCCTCCTCATCCTCTCATTCCTCGCCAACAGAGAGCCCTCATCGCGAGTTGCGAAGCTTGGTAGGTGCTGAGCGTGGAGGCTGGTCGCATGCGCCAATTCGGCGGCCAGCCTCCATTCGTCAAGCTCTACGCCGCCGAGGTGGACCCGCAGGCGCCCGCCACCTACACCAACACGAGAGGGGATGCCATCCCGGCCCTGTGCATAGCCATGCCGCTAGTGAAGAGTGAGCTTGCTTCCACACCCCACACAGATGCGCACATGCCTGAGGTCCTCATTTCTCCTTGTTTCTGATTGATATGTAGTTGGTGCTGATAAAGAGCACGAGTTTGTCGAGTTGAGCAATCGGAAGGAGCGGCTGAACGTCGCTGTGTGTCTGGCCAACAAGGCGAGGGAGGCGGTCGACCCGCAGCTGCTGAGGATGGTGAGGCAGATGGTGCTGGAGAGCGTCAGCATGCTCACCAATGCCCTCCTGTGCACCGCCAAAGCCCACAGACTCGCCATTCGCCGCGCACTCTGCATCGACCATTTCCACCACAACGTCATGCTCTCCAAGGATGCCCTTCAGAGCTCCAGCAGTGAGCTGCAGCAGTCCGACACGGCCGCCGGCACGGTGCTGTTGGACTTGGCCAACACCCTCGCCCCCACCCCTCCCGCCTCCCTCCCCTCACCGCCACCACCAGCCTACTTGGGCCCCCACGTCGTCGTGCTGCCCCTGGACAAGGCCGCCCAAGCCGCCCAAGGGCAGTATCCCGAGGGGTGCACGCCCTGGCACGTGTCGCCGGAGCTCTGGGTGGCCATGAAGGGGCCGATCGACGACGAGGCGGACGAGGAGGCCGCGAGAGCCGTTGGTCGCATCAATGCCGGCCTCAAGAGAACACGGCAGGAGCTGAGGGCGGAGGGGCTGCTGGTGGGTGAGGGCAAGTCGGAAGCTCTCATGCTCGAGGAGCCGACCATCGTCACCGGCATCGCCAGGGCCATGAGCTCCGTCATGAGCGCGGAATGGCAGGTGGAGACCGCCATCAGGGACGCCGAGGCGCTGGGAGCAGCTGAGGAGGATGAGGCGGATAAGGCGGCCCAGGAGCTGCTGCTGGCCGACTTGGATCACTACACGGCCACCATCATCACCCAAGACGGCCGGCCACTCGACTGCCGCAAAGACCTTCTCGGCGAGCCCATATGTACGCCCCGAGGAAGTCCTCACAGCGTTCCCGGGGCTCGAGTGGTTGAGCCAGTGGCAGCAGATCGTGGGAGGCGCCGCGGCCAAGGGATTGCGGCGCAGACAGAGCGAGAGGGGGACCATCGCAGACTCAGAAGACCAGCTGGTCCGCGCCCTGCAGCTGCTGGAGCTGGAGCAGGTCAGGCAGGCCACGGAGAACGGCACCAGCCTGCAGGTGCCCGTCGCCCTGCCACCGATGAGTGAGAAGTCGTTGGAGACGACTGGCCATGTTGCTGCTGCTGCTGCGGGTGAGTCACGTGTACTGTATGAGTTGTGTGTGTGTGTGGCATCCATCCATCCATCCATCCATCTATCCATCCCACATGCCTCTTTCCCTCTCTGTGTCTGTCTGTCTGTATGTGTCGTGTGTGTCAGGTGGTGCTGACGATTGCGGCAGTGACACGGCGTCAGGGGAGATTGGCGCCTCCCCGGCGTCGTATCGCGCCATGCCCGACTCACCAGAGTCACCAGCACCAGCAGAGCCACCCGTACTACCGCCGCCAAGCCCCCAGCCTGCAGAGGTGCCGATCGATGCGTACGCGTCACGACCCGAGCCGCCCTCCAACCCCGAGCCCCCCATCCCACCACCAGCCACACGCCAGAAGGCCGTCCTCCTGCCGGATATCAAGGCAGCCCACACCCGACATCCCCACCACACCCAGCCCGACACACATACACGACCCACCCCACCCCACCCCAGCACACGAGCACCACATCTGCTCTCCCCGCCCCCGGCCCACCCGCCCATGATGTACGGCAGCAACATCCCCGCCGACCACGTGCCGTACAAGTGGGGACACGCCAAGGTGGTGAGCTACGGCGGTCCGGCCAAGGAGGGCTGGCACTACAACCCCACACCCGACGAGTGGGAGTGGTGGACGAGGGTAGGCGATGGCCTCTGGGAGGTCAGGGCGGCCAACCTACAGCGACGCTATCGAGCTCGGCAAGGCGGCGTGGACATGGATGGCCTCTTTTTGCGCCTGATGTATGAGCTTCGGCGTGATCGCAGGCAACAGAGGTGAGATAGTGACATCAGTGAGTCAGTCAGTTGATGACACTTCTCCGAGTGTTTTGTGTGCAGGTTGTTGTCAATCGCCGCCTACGTTTTATATTTGGATGTCTCGTTTATCGAAGACCACGCCATATTCCTGCGGGATGAAGATCTGCTAAGCCAGGTGAGACGCCAACGACAACAAACATTACTTCCTTCGCTACCATTGGGTGCTGTCCTCGTGTCTGCAGATCGATCGATCGCTGTCTACGTTTTATATTTCCGAGATCAACATTCTGAGACACGACGCAGCAGCTCAACGACGGCCGAGAAGACCATCGTAACTACTTATCCACACGTCGCTGTGGGTAAGTTGTGTCCGCCCGACGATTGGGCCGTGACGTCGTGATATGTGTGCATTGGGTCCATCCGTGTGTGTGAGGGTGTCTTTTCCGCCAGACAGATGCCCACGCATTCATTTTTGATAGAGGGGAGGCGGGAAAACAAATAGCTGGTTTAACGCTCATGACGAGTGGATGCATGCATATTGTCCAAAAGCATTGCAGTCCACCATGCACGACAGATACACGAGCAAGATGGTGGATGGCGGGAAACCTCAGGACACGGGCCTATGCGTACATACACAAATCATATCGATACCTCAAGATACCCGCGCTCCCGTCCATCATGATGGCCATCCTATTCATCTATCCCTCCCTGACTATTGCCCACCGCCAACCAGGCCTCCCCCTCCCTCTTCATAGTCTGCAACCGCTCGCGAATGTCTTGCAATTGCTCCATCGACGACTCGTCCAGCTGTCTCCTGAATCGCTCTAGCGAGCTCAATATACCGCCCATGCTTGCCCTGCGCCGTCCACAAACACTGTCGGCTGGTGGGGGCGAGGGCGGCTGAGGGAATGTTCGCACATGGGAGACAGCAGAGGGGCGGAACGTAGGGACTGGCTCGCAACAAGGAGGCTCTGGGGGAGAAGGGAGGGTGATCGGTGCTGCTTGAAGGCCCGCATCACTCAGCGCCCATCTCAGCGGCGACGGTCGCTCGTCGGGTCGGAGCTTCACATCGCCCAGGTTGAATTGACTCTGTCTCCCAAGATCTACCCCCAAGGGAGCTTGTGACGAGTCAGAGGAAGACGAAGGCGGCAAGGTCGGTGGGGATTCCTTCGCCGGAAGGTCAGTCTGTGTAGCTTCGCTTTGCCTGGCCGGCGCAGAGCGGGGCGGCCCTTGTGGCTGCTGCACTGACCGAGACAGGAACCGTTGGATCTCCAAGTCAGCAGCAAGGGCAATGTGAGTCTCTTCGATCGACGACGCCGGCGGATGAGACGCCAGAATAGCCTTCTCCCCTTCGTTTCCTTCCTGTTCCTTTGCCATCAGCTCATCGAGGGCATTTTGCAAGGACGTTGTCGGAAAGATATCTGTCTGAGGCCGAGCAGCCTCCGGTACCGTCTCTCTGCCCTTGTGCGTTGTGACATGCCGAGGTTCTGCTTGCAGAGGCGTCTGAGGCTGCGATTGCTGCGCTTGAGGGGGCGTACGAGAGCCTTGCCGGCCTCCATTTCTTCTCAGAGGCGATTCCTCTTCTCCTTGGTCATCCCTTTGTGCATCGGCTTCATCTTGTTTCTCTCCTCTGGTCTTGTCGACCATCTTGGCATCATCAGTCGCCACATTTGGTCGCACTCGCTTCAAGAAGACTCGCGCGATCCGTCCCGGCTGTGTGCGCATGTAGATGGTGCCTGGCACAGGAGTGATGCGGGCGGTTGGGAAGCTGTCTGTCCGCTTCGGTGGCGATGCGGCAAGGGCGGCGCGAGCAGGACCTCCTGTCGCGGCAGGAGCAGGGAGGGATTGCGACCGCAAGGATGTGCCGGCATCGTGGGACGAATTGGAAGGGCGCAGGATGGGGAGCTCTGCAGCCAGCACTGCAAGAGAAAGGAGTGTGTGTAAAAGCGGATGTTTGTGCTGGTTGGCTGGGCTGCCTTACTGTATCTCCGCTGTGTGCGGCTGCTGCTGTCCATGAGGAGGCTTCGGACATGCTGATAGAGTGCCGATTGCTTGTCCTTTATCTGCTGCTGAAGTGTTGACAACACATCGGAGGATTTCCGGCCACCGCTCGACGGAGATATCTGCCGACCAGTAATACAACACGACCTGGCTTGCATGACATTTTTACATCTCCATACACGCGTCTCACCTCCACACGAACGATGACCGAACCCGGCAGCAAGTCGATGACATTGATCCTGTCGACCTGGACGAGACGCATTGACATGATCGAGTTGTACGAAATTGCCCATTTCTCTCTCCTGACCTCGATTGCTACTGCCTTGGCCAGGGCGTGGCGCAGCCGTCTCTTGAGCTCTGTCGGTTCAGCTATGGCATCATAAGGATAGTCAACTACCAAGTCGCCGTGGACCGGCAGCTCCACCGCGGCCATCTCGTGATGTTGTTTTGCGCTTAAAGACGGTGGTGAAGGCTCCATTGCCACTGTGCTCTCGTCTTGCTTCGATGCCAATGCAGTGGGATCCACGGGGAGTGCCAAAATGTCTCCTCGTACATGCGGATCACCGACTGAACTCATCCCTGCCGACGGCTCCTCTGTCCTCTCCGCCGAAGCCGACGCAGACATTTCAGCATCAGCCGTCTCTTGATGTTGATGTGAGGCAGCCGGCTGCTCGCCTTGTGTCCTTTCGGCCTCGAGAAGTGGTGTGTCCGTGGCGGTATCAGACTCCTGCTTTGGCCTCAGAGACGGCAGGTCGAGTCGGTACAAGTGCCGCTCCATTGACGGATGATGGTGCCCTTTTTGTGATGTCTCAGGCCCGACAGCAGTAGACGAACGTGCTGGAGGGGCCGGACGAATAGCCTGGAGCTCTTGCGTCTTGCTTTTGTCGGACAACGAGGGACGAGAACCACCCTCTGGCTGAAATGTCCTTGTGGGCGGCGACTGACAAGGGCTTGGCTTCTCTGGCTCGTTTCTTCCTCCCAGACTTGCGCTGGGCACGGACTTTCTATTGTTGGCCGGCCTTTGAGGAATAGGCGCATCAAGTGCCATAGTGCACACATGTCCATCAAGGAGCGATGCTGCCGGCTCCGGCGGCGGGGAATCCACAGATCCGGAAGAGGGCGGTGCGCCACAGAGAGGAAGCTGCTTCTGCAGGTGGGCTATGCGGCCCTCCAGGCGATGCATTCGACGCTGCATGCAAAGGACACGATCACATGGTCAGTGACAAAGAAGGACAGCCGCTGCTGACCTCGTAAAAAGCAGCTTGGTGCTGAAGGTTCGCATGGCATCTTTTGCGCTCGTTCTCCAGCTGTCGGTCGAAATCCGCCTGAAGCGCCTTCAACGCCTCACGATGCTGATCGCGCTCGTGGATCAGAGTGTGCTGCAGGTGCGTCTGCTCCTTCTCAAGGGCCCGCAATTCCGCTGCATGCCGTTCCTCTGCTTCCACTGTATCAGGCTGTGTGTCAGCCGTCTGCGGCTCTGGGAATGTAGTCTGAGTGGCTTTGTCGTTGTCGTGAGCTTTCCTTCTCTCTTCCTGCAGCTGCCTCTCCAACTCAGCGATACGGGCGATGTACGTCTCTTCTTTGGCTTTCATTTCACGCTCCTGACACGATGAGACACGACAAGGACACATGAGTACGACAGGTAGTGAAGTGTCTCACCTGCTCCTCCTGTTGCCGCTGTCTCTCCGTCTCCTGTGTCCGTCGTGTCTGCTCCGCGGTCACTTCATCCATAGTCTTCCTTCGCTGTTCCTCCAGCACAGTCGATCGTCGTTTCCTCTCTCTCTGCAGCTTGGACGAGAACACAGACGAGTGGCGCGCCCGCTCTTCCTGCAGAAGCTGGACGCGACACGGGCAGACTGGTGCATAATGTGCGCGGCAATCGTGGGGGATTCTAAATACCTGTATGTCATCCAGCAGGCTGTCAGCCACACCACTACGAATGCTTTCATGCCGGTCCGTCTCAGCTGTCTCTTCCTCGGTCACTGCATCCACACAACAGACCACCAATATTGCCGCGTCCTCTCGTCCCCCTAGCACTCACCTTTTCTCAGAAGGCTGCCCTTGGCCCTTCCTCTAGTCAGAATCACTCCAGGCAATCCCTGCGGTCGAGAGAACATACGCCCTTCCCTCGACGCCCGTCTCTTTGACGGCAGCAATGCCCTCCCCTCACTGGCATCGCTCAGCTCATCAGAGGACGTCGCCGGCTGAGCATCGGCTGCGACACCGATGGCCGGTGGCAAGACAGGATGAGGAACGGGCGAGAAGGTTGGGAAGTGCATGAGTGGGTGCAGGGGCATTGCCGCCGGGTGCAGGTGTGGGTAGGGATAAAATGGGTTGTAGGGAGGCGTCGAAAAGGCCGACGTCGGCGCTGGTGATGAGATGGCGAACGATGACGGGCTGCGAGGGGCCCGGGGAGAGCCGGTCAGCCGTCGCCCGGGAGGCGCGAAGCTGGGAGTGGCAGCTGCGGATGGTAGACCCCATGTGTCGTCGACGTGACAAGGGGACGACGACGTCCGGCGGGCCTCTCGTCTGACTGGCGATGGGGGGGAGGGGGGAAGAAGCTTGTCGTCGTCACGGGCTGACTTGGGCGGTGGGAGGGAGTCAACAGAGCGCCGTGGACGAACCTCTGACTCAGTGCAGTCAACTCGGGAATCCATGCTGTCCCTCTTTTGTGCAGGAGCTGCTTTTCGAACTCGGGACGATTAAGGCCTGGGTTTCTGGGTTGTCAACGGTCAACGGTGCGAGCTAAAGAGCTGTCTGCGGTTCGAATGGGCGTGTCTGCCAGTCATTCAAATGCTCTGGGGCTCGGCAGTCGGCAACCACTCGAGATCTGTCACCCCGCCTTCATCCTGCCTCCCGCACCTACGAAGCTGCTCTCGCGCATTCGTTGTCAGCGCCGGATACGAGTCTCTATGACGGATCTGGAGGAGCCGGCAGCGAGCCAAGATGATCCTGTTGGCGACGAGCCATCCACATACAGGGAAGGTCGTGTTTTGATTCATGCTCCCTCGTCCAAGAGCGGCTCTCCAGCTGCCTTTATGAATCCAGCAATGTCCTTCAACAGGGACCTCACTGTCCTCGTGCTGCACTCATTCTTCTCGGCTCTTAATGGCACTGACGACTCATCGACTGGTGAGGACTCATCTGAAGGCAGTGCTGCTGGTGTTCCTGTGCGACGTTGGCAGGGCGCTCCGGCCCTGCTGTCATCGAGCAATGTGACGGTGCTGGAACCTTACGCGGGGACTGGGCTGCGCTCGCTGAGGTTCGCAGCTGAAGTGCCAGGCATACACCACGCCGTTGCCAACGGTGAGATGAGGCTAGACACACACACACACACACAGAGAGAGAGAGAGAGAGGTATCACATCCAGTGGTTCTGCGGCGTCTGGTTCTCTCTGCATAGATCTGTGCGGGTCGGCCGTCACATCTATCCGTGCCAACATGGCCCTCAACAAGGAATCGACAGCTGGCCGCATGAGCGTCACCAGGAGTGATGCAGCCGACTCCCTGTGGCAGTGGCGGCGCGGGGAGAGAGGCGGCAAGGGAGCGCGAGTGGGGTGTATAGATCTGGACCCGTTCGGGTCCGCAGCTGAGGTGTTTCCCTTGGCTGCTGAGAGTGTGTGCCGGGATGGGCTGCTCTGCGTCACTTGTACAGATATACAGGTGACCAGACGTGACCAGAGGGAGCAGGAGGACGAGGGACCCAGGCATCCCTGTCAACTTTTCCCTTTTCAGGCACTGTGTGGCGGCGGTGGCGGCTCAAAGTCAACGGCATGTTGGGCGCGATACGGGGGCATGCCTATGGCTACCAAGCCGAGGAAGGAAGGCGCCATCCGGCTAGTCCTCAATGCCCTCAACAGAGCTGCTGCTCTCCACGGGTGGGTCGACCTGCCATCACCAACACGATAGCCCAGCTATTCTCTTCACGTCTGCTGTGCCTTCCTTCCCTTCAGGCGGTCGATTCTGCCCCTGCTGAGTCTGTCCGTCGACTACTACATCCGCGTGTACGTGCAGATTCTCGAGGGGGGCGGCGGCCTGGTCGACTCAGCCATCAACACGGGGATGGTGGCCACCTGTCCTTCCTGCCGTCAATTCGATGTCATGCCGGCCGCCTCCTGCCGATGGGGTCCGAAGCAGTGGGTCCTGACGCCGACCACCATCTGCGGGAAAGAAAGGGAGGACAGGTGCAAGTGTGGTGCCGCTAAGGGAGATGCAGCGCGGACCCTGGCTGGCCCGATGTGGATCGGTACGTGGAGAGGAGCAAGGCAAGACATCGTATGATCACATCACTGTCCTTGGGGGCTTCTGTATCGTTGTCTCAGGTCCATTGCACGACAAGACGTTTGTGCGCCACCTGCTGTCCACTCTCCGTGATCTCAAGGAGCAGGATCAGTCTGCGGCCAATGGCATGCCTGTGCTGACCAACCGTGCCGAGCTGGAGGGGCTGCTGACGGTCATCAATGAGGAGTGCTCTCTGGATGAGCCGTGCCCCTTCTTCTACCACCTGGAGGACATTGCCTACAACATGGCGCACTTCCAGCCACCACTCAGAGAGGTCACCTACCTATCCCCACACACACACAAAATGTGCCAGCCATGTGGTGGTGCCCTTGTGTGTACAGATGCGCGCTGGTCTGTCCCGTTTGGGCTGGTCGGTGAGTCAGTCCCACACTGACCCGAGCACACTCAAGACATCCGCGCCATTCAGTGTCCTCCTCGATGTCGCGCTGGCCTGGGCAGTCAGTAAGGGACCCGAGGTGCTGCGGCAGATCGCGCAAAGTAAGGAAGTAAGTAGGTCGGTTGTTCTCATCCCACGAGCACATGTCTGTCACTGCTGCTTTCTGTTTTGTTGTTCCGTCTTCTCATGAAGGAGCTAAGTCTAAGTGGCTCAGAAAGGAGGCCGACGAGATGTTGAGCAACATAGAGCTCGTTGGGTCAAGGGACCTCGGTGCTCTCAGCGTGTGCAGCGAGCGGCCTGATGGCAGTTCAGACTTCGTCAATGTGAGCAGGGGGTCGTCCCGAGCTGAGTTTGCAGTCAAGTCCAAGCACACGCACGTGAGGCGATGGCTGCAGAGGGCGAAGAGGGTCGGGCCGGGGGCAAGGCCAGCCAAAGGATGAGAGGCTGTTTGTTGCCTGTAAGGTCGTAATGTCATGATTGTGCAGTGTACGTTACGTGTCAGATAGATGACTGACTGACTCATGCATCACTCAACATTGCAGGCAATAGATGCAGGTGTGGGATATCAAAACCCCATCGCGTCTTGTTCGCCATGTCAGGCCATCCCACACGCATCCAGCAAGACATTCCTTCCCACAGACAGATAGGCAGACAGACAGACAGTCAGGTATGCATGCATACAAAACTGATAAAGCTATGCAGCGGCCATGCAGCCAGCCACACGTACAAACAAACATGTCCGCAACACACACGTCACATGAGTATCAACAGCGGCTTTCTCATCTTCATCGCTCCCATGCACACACACGTCAGCACATGCATCCTCGCGCCTTACACGTGCGTCAGAACGCGCAGCTAGCTTCCCAGCAGCCGCTCGCTCCTCAACTCGTCTTTCTCGCCGTGTGTGTGGCCTTCGCGCGGCACTCGCAGGCATATGTGGTGGCTGTCGTCACATTTCTCGAGCAGACCCTCACACAAATCCTCATGAAATGACCCGTCGCTCTTGACGCCGGCACTTGATGCGTCATCCTGCACACACACACAAGACATCACCACACGCACGCATCAGTGAAGAGCAGACACACTCATTTGTCCTCTCACCTGCAGCCTGGCCCCTCGGGTCTCGTACGGGAGCGTCATCAGCAAAGCAGCACTCACAAAAGCGGCAACACCCAAAACTCCGAAGAAAACGCAATACCGCCCCCCGTCGTAGCGATCCACCGCCGGCAGGAAAGTGGCCACCCACACGGTGAGCTCGAACAAGAGAGGGGCAATGATGCCCCCGATCCTGCCGGATGAGACGGCAATCGACACACCGGTGGATCGACACACGGTGGGATAAATCTCCGCTGAATACAGGAAAGTGATGTTCAGACCTGCACGGACACTCAGCACAGCAGAGACGAACCATCAGACAGGAACCGGTCGGCCTCTCGTGCATCTGCTGATTGTACTGACCAAGGAATGTGCAGAACTTGCCCATGGCGGCAGCCCACACGGCGACGGTAGCCCAGTCCCAGACGAGTGCAGCGGCCGTCAGCCCCATGGCAATGCACTCGAGCAGCAGCGACGCCGCCTGCGTCACACGCCGGGGGCCCACGTCGGCAAACACCGACAAAGCATTGCCCAGGAGAGACATCAACTCAGCACGCAGTAGGGAATACGCTGGGGCAATGCCTGCAATACACAGACAGGTGCTTGTGTATTCTCTTTCAAGCTTGTGTGTCGTTGGTTCACCTGTCTGCTTTTCGATGTCTACGAACACTTGTGGCAGGGCGTAGAGCAGGCCATAGGAGATCATGTTGCATGTAAAAGTGACGCAGCAGAGCACAAAAGTAGTGTAGCGATAGGTGTCGTTGAAGACGACGTGGAACGAACTCCTGGAGGGAGCGGGGATGTCGCCCTCCTGCGCACACACAAAACACGCAGACAGACATGCAGGCGGTTAGTCATGGATGTGTCGCGTTCACTCACCGCTCCATTGTCCCCAGGTCGGCCGTCATCCTCCCAGTGCACATCAAGCTCATCGACCCTCCTCCCATTCAGCCACGCCAGCCGTCTCAAAACACGCCTCACATCGTCCCACCGGCCCTTGATGGCCAAGTAATGGGGGCTTTCTGTCAGGAAGCACGCCGCCAGGGGCAGCACGACCAGGGCTGGTATCGAGGCCATCACGATCAGGTGCCGCCATGACAGAGTGCGCATCTCAGGGTCCGCGAAGATGATGACACAGATGGTGTAGATGCTTCCCACGGGCAGCAGTGTGTTGCCAAGGCCCTGCAGGGGAGCACGCCAGCTGATCGGTGAGACCTCGCTGCAGAGGGTGGTCCACACAGGAATCCCCGCTCCCATAGACAACCCAGCGAAAAAAGCGAACACCAGCAATTGAGGCACGGTGCGGGCAAAATACTGCAGAAGCCAACAACATATAGTAAAGGAATCCGATGAGTCGATACATCTGCATACATGTCGTCTCTCACCAAGAGGATGTTGGCCAGCAGCAGGCCCGAGAAGGCGATGAACATGGGCCGCCTCCTGCCGATGAAGTCGGCCACATATCCACTGCAGGATCCGCCAATCGCATACCCTCCAAGCACCAACGACAGCATCACGCCCTTCCCAGCAGCGCTGAGCGTCCATGGTTGGTCATCGCCGTGCGTCCGGTTGGCAATAGAGAATACGAACAGCTCGGCACCGTCGAGGAAGTATATAGCGCCAGCAAGAACAAGAACAATGACCTGGGCCAAGCCGCCTCCGATTCGTTCGATGAGTGCGTTGACGTCTGGCGGTGGCAGGGAGGCGAAGAACGGGGGCACAGATGGATTGTGATGATCGTTGGAGTGAGGAAGATGACCATTGGTGGCCGTGTCAGCAGCTGCCTTGACGGCAGATGACTCGATGTCGCGATTTGTGTGCATCTTGTCGGGTTGGTCACTAAGAGCCGACGCAGTCGTGTGCCCTCCCTCCTGCTCTCAGTTCCTTGCAGCAGCGGTTTCAGGAAGTACCCTGTGCTCTCAGTTCCTTCGCCCGCAAGTCCAGTGCCAGCAGTTTTGGGAGCGCCCTAAGCAGAAGCACGCCGGGTCTGCAAAATTTTCCTATCTCCGCAACTCAAGTGCCATCCTGAGCTCTGCACTGCCTTCCTCTCCTACGGCATCTGCCTGATCTGCGTGTCGGGGGTCTATTCCGATGGTGCTGCACTTCAGCAAAGACATCAAGACGCCCGACCCGGTGCCGCAGGAGGGCATCCAACGGGCCGTGGTCAGTGAAAGGACACAGACACACGCGATAAGGCACACGCAGGGGCACCAGACAGGCAGCGAGGCACAGATCTGTGATGTGCTTACTTGCGGGACTGGGTGCGCCATCTCATCTATGTCGCCTGTTGTGTCTGTGTGTGTATGCAGGCGATCATGTCAGAGGGCCGCATGTACCGCTACAACCACAGCGACAACCAGAGTGATGTCTCGTTGTGCGAGCGGGAGTTCGCCAAGTACGTCGGCCTCAAGTATGCCGTCGGCGTCAACAGCTGCGGCAGCGCTATCTTCCTCGCTCTCAAGGTGGGCCATACGATCCACTGCATTCATTCTATAACCATGGATGGACACACCCTCCTGTGTGTGTTGCCGTGTTGTGTGGTGTCAGTGTGTGGGTGTGCAGTCCAACGACGTGGTGTTGTGCAACGGGTTTTCCTTCACGGCCGTGCCGAGTGCGGTGGAGCACTGCGGCGCCAGGCCGGTGTTCGTCGACTGCACCGACCACTATGTCATCGACCCCACTGACCTCGAGAGAAAAGCCAAAATGCACAATGCACGGTGAGATAAGATGGCAGGAGAGGAGGGGGTCACCCAGACGATGTGATGTGTCGGGGGTTTGGTTTTCTCTCTGCTTGATGCCTTCATTCATTAGGTATTTGTGTCTGACGTACATGCGCGGCAAGGTGCCCGACATGTGTGCCGTCATGGATGTCTGTCGGCGCCTCAAGATCACCCTCGTCGAGGACGCCGCCCATGCACTCGGGGTGCGGTGGAACGGCACACTCATGGGCAACTTCGGAAAGGCCGCCTGCTTCAGGTACTCTAAAGGATGGATGGATGCCCTCAACCACACATCTGAACACTGTGTGTCTTGTTCGTCGTCAGTTCGCAGAGCTACAAGCTGCTGAATTCCGGCGAGGGCGGCTTTCTGGCGACCAACGACGATGTCATCGCTGCCAAGGCCATCTGCTACGCCGGGTGCTACGAGAAGCTGTAAGCAAACACACACACGAAGACGGCCATGCCTTCCTTCCTCGCCATTAATAGATTATGTGGTGCGTTTGTTGTCGGCTGTCAGCTACGAGAAGCACATCGTGGCCCCACCGAAGGCGGTTTTCGAGCGCATCAAGAGAGAGGTGAGCAGAGGGAGGGAGGGAGGGAGGGAGGGAGAAGCCAATGAACTGTTCTCATGTGGCCAATGTGCGTTCAGACGCCCAACTACAGCCTGCGGATGAGCAACTTGGCGGCGAGTGTGCTGCTGCCGCAGATCGCCACCATTGAGCAGCGGATACAGACATACAACAGAAGATACTACCGACTGCAGGCTCAACTAGAAAGGTACTACACTACACTACCACACACACACAAGCACACGAGATACTCCATCTCTCTCTGTCTCTCTCTGCGTGGCGTGACACGTATGTCAGCGGATCGGCGTATGTGCGTGTGCCGCGTCAGTACCCAGCCGTGTCGATCGTGGGCGACAGCATACAATTCAACCTCGTCGGTATGTTCTCTTCTCTCGCCCACACTCAGGCAACACACACAGGGCCCAGCACACGAGTATCTCTGCGTGTCTGCGTGTGTGTGTGCAGGAGAGTGTGTGACCCCCGCGGCCACGCAGGCCTTCCTAAGTGCATGTGCCAAGCGAGGCGTCCCGGTCAGCATCTTCGGCGACAAGGACAACGCCAGAAACATCCGCAACTGGTACATGCCAGCAGACAGACGGCAGGAGGAAAAACGACCTGCTGAGTGTATCCTTCGGTTGGTATGTGTCTGCGTGTGTGTGTGTGTCCTTGTGTGCAGGCGCTACTGCGATTTGTCGGATCTGAATGTGCCGTCGACGGAGGAGATGATTCCAAAGGCGTGTGATGTCCGGCTGCCTCTCCAATTTGACGTACGCCGGCACAACATACACACACTCATGTCACGCATTGTCTCTTCCCGTCTGGTCTGGTCTGTCCGCCTCATGCACTCACTCATCAGGATGGTGATTTCGACGTGATGGGTGCGGTCATTTTGGAGGCCATGAATGAAACGCTGCCGCCATGTGGCCCCAACTCGTGCGTACGAGCCCCGTACGCCCACACCAACGGCCATGCATACGCCCACACCAACGAGCACACCACCTACACCACCAATGGGCACACGAACGGCCACCTGCCCGCCAACGTGCAAGTAGAGGCCCTGTGAGCGAGCCAGAGGGGAGGGAGGCGGGTTTTGCACTTGACTGGCGGGATGCATGTGTGCATGTGCGTGGATGTCGTGCGTGGTGTGGTGACGATGGATGGTTCAATTCATCGGTTGTTGGCCGTTGGGGCCTTTTCAAGTGCGGCTGGCTGCTGACGATGGATGGATGGATGGATGGCCCGCATAGCATATGCGTGTGTATCTCTTGGTGTCTTGCCTGTGCCTGCCTCCATGTGGGTGGTGTGGTGTGTGTGGCATGGCATGGCTGGCTGTATAGGTGGGTGGGTGGAAAGGGGAGCTGGCCGCTAACAATACAGCCCTCTCCGCTCATCCGTCTGTTCACGAATGTGGTTGTGGATGTGTATGCGTGTGTGCGTGTGTATGATGTGATGCGCTCGTGACCATGATGGCAGCCGAGTTCTGGACATTTTGATGGACATACGTACCAGCGTCACATGATGCCGTGACCGTCACACATGAAAGATGGTGCCGTGCCTGCAAGCCAAGCCCAATGACTTTTCCATTTGTGGCATGCGGCATCGCATGGGCCTGAATGCGTTGCCTCTCATATCGTATCGTATCGTATCATTTCATATCGTATCGTATGGTGTCTGTCGTGTTGTCTTCCTTTTTGCCGTGCCGTGCGCTTGTCGACTCGACTCTACTCTCTCTCTGTCTGTCGATCGGGATGGATTTTCATACACACCATGCATGCGGGGAGAGAGAGAGAGAGAGAGATGGATTGATGGGTGTCGAGTGTCGAGAGGGAGGGACCGGGCAGACGACGGACGCCCATTTTGCCAGAAGGAGAGGGGAGGGGGGATCTAGCGCTTGTGGATGCTCGTACACAAACAAGGTGGCTTAAAGTGTCATGCTTACTTCGTCTTTATGAGTATCGCATTGTGCGGTACACACGCCGGGGAGAGGAGGGAGAGCCCGTAGGTAGCGCCGTGCCGTGTCTACGTATTGCTTGTGTGCGTGTCGTGTGTGTTGCGTACTTATTCTTTTGTCGACGAGCATTCGTGCCATTCCATCCACTTCATGTCCGTTCCATCGTCAGCCAGGTCCAGCGACTTGATGTTTCTCTTCTTGTGCGGCTTGGTTGATGGGTGGTCATCGCCACCCGCCCCACCAATCAAGCTGCACATGGAGAACTACATCAAGTCGCTGGTCGACGGGCAGGAAATTGTTGACTCCATCCATCCATCCATTTCTCCCACCATCAACCACCACCACCCCCAAAGCGCGTGGCGAGCGGGTGTCGATTTTCCATCCACACATCCATCCATCGGTCGTCATGCTCACCGTGAATGCCGTGAGTCCCGTGAATGAATGCCTTTCCTGGCCTTGGCTGGTGCAGGATTTTTCAACAGAGAGCGACAGACTGAAGAGGGACATTTTTCACTCATGTGGCGTGCATGCATACGAGAGGGGGAGGGGGGGACAGTTTTAACACTGGCATCCATCCATTTCTGCCGCTGTCTGCCTGCCTCCCTCCCTCGTCCATGCCGCTTTGTTCTCGCATCGACCGACCCATCGACTGTCGATGTATGTCTTTTCTCTTCCCCGTCTCTCTCCCCAACCAATTACTCTCGTCGCTCTCTTTCCTGCACAACCTGCTGGCCGACGTCTTTCTGTCTGTCGTGTTCCACGTTTTCCTTCCAGCGTCACACACTTCCTTCCCGCGTGTGCGGTCGGCTCGCTGGCAGCCGAGACAGCAGCCGCCCTTTCCGTAGCCTGCCTGATGGTCTACTCGTGTCGTGTCGATGAGCGTGCCGTCAGTTTTCCACTGGCCTGGATGGATGGATGAATGGATGGTGGGTGGGTGGGGTGTATGTGGCAATGACCGACAGTGAGGGGGTGTCAATGATAGGCAGTAGCGAGTCGTCGATCAGAAACGCGCAGATGGTTGTCGACCACTGGTAGCTTGCTCACTGCTCGACCCTGTGCGAGTCGAGTCGTGGAATGGCTGTCGTCTAGTACCTACGCCCGCGGATGTGCGTCACGGGCTGCTGTGGTGTGGAAGTTGTAGTGTTCTGATGTGCCTGCACCGTCGACGGCGTTGGAGTGGTGAGCCTCTCTCAGACGAGAAGCTCACCGGCCCTTCGCTGCCGCGATGCTGAGCAGGTCAGAACGCCACGCCGCATATGGATGACGAACAACAAGATGTGATATCATGCATCAGTCAAGAAGCGTAGAGGGGTCCATCGGGTGCACGATGTCCACAAGCAAGGAAGCAAGTAAGCACGACAGACAGATGAAAGATGAAGACACAGAAGCAAGACAAATGGGAGGCGCCACTGCCTCTTCCGAAAAACGACTGCCATCATCTCATCCACAGATGCCCGCAGCAGCCAGCCTATACACAGACGCATCAACACACCCGATCGCCCTGCTGTCTCTGAGCACCATCCGCCATTTCTCTGTCCTGTTCCCTCTCACTCTCGGCCATCCTCGGCGCGCTGACGTGGCTGTCAAAGCCGGTGGCACTGACCGAAGAGCCCTCCGCCCTGCCGCTGTTGGTGGGGGTCAGCTCTGTGCTGCTCGTCGCCTCTCTCTCCCTCCTATGCCCGTTGACCCCACCCATGAGACGTGTGCTGACCTGCCGGGCGACGTTGGTGATGTCCGTGACAATGGTGGCGGGCTGAGAGAGGGGGGGCAGCTGCTGGCCGTGGGTGGTCTTGTCGTCTTTTGGCTGTCGACGGCCCCCGGTGGCCGGCCCTAGAGCGACCATTGATGGCGTCATATCGTCGTCGCTGTCACGTGCCGGCTCGTCATCGTCATCTTCTGCTTCTTCTGAGTCCTCCTCGTCTGTGGTGGTGCGTGTCCGCCTGGCATCTGTGTGCCTCCGTCTTCGCAGCATCGTCTTGCGAGCCCTGGCGGCAGCTTTTAGCAGCATGTAGGGCGACAGCTGGATAAACACGTGCCACAGCGAGTGCAGCAGCCAGTAGTTGGCCGATGTCTCACAGAAGAAGCACACGATGCCAAAGCCAGCCGACAGCAGCCCCAGGCCCACGTTCTTGCTCCAGCCGATCTTGTCGATCACTGTCTGCCGGAGTATTAGCCAATTGGACGGCGCGGGCGAGTCCATCAGTGGCCGGCCGCTCTCTGCCGCAGCCGCAATCCCTCGCTCATCCATGGGGGCGGGGAGGAGGCGTGGCATGAATCGACCCTTTGCCAGCCAAAAGAGCCATCTCGACAGGTAGACGAGGATAAGCAGCGAAAAGACCACCAGGATGTTGGCCGACGCTGTTGCCGACTTGGAGGTGAGAGTGACGGTGAGGGCGAAGAGGGACATCAGGAAGGACCGCTGGATGGGGTGCGAGAAGTGGCAGAACTCCAGGATGACCACCACGAATGACAAAAAGGCGCAGGTGAAGTCAAGGCTCTGCAGCTGTGGGTAGTTGAAGAGGCAGAGCCACTCCACGTCGCACGCGTGATAGACGGCGCTCCAGATCCCCACATTGGCGAACAATAAACACTTGAAGAACCACCCCTTCCTCCACGTCAGCATTACCACAGGCACCACAGCGATATTGGAGCCCACGAGACAGACGACGCCCAGCGCCGAGAAGGGTTGGGAGAGGTACTGCAACTCGCACGCCTCGCCGTGATAGCCGTACTGGCAAGAGCACGAGTAGAGGGGGAAATCGAACACGACTGTGTTGTCGCAGGAGCCGTGATGGCTGCAGTCATCGGGACACTCGCGAACAACTTCCATCGACGCCTCTACCTGCGCGCACAAAATATAGAGAAAAGGGAACTTGCATCCAGCGTGTGCGCGTCGATCCGTTCTGTTTGTGTTCTCAGTCAGTCACTCACCCGTATGGCAGCAACAGCCCCCAAGTCATGAAGCAGCCGCCCCTCTCCAGCTGACACCAGCTGCATGGCCATGACCATGACACCGGGCCGCATGTCCCTCGTCGGCCCCACAGCCGCCCCACCCGCCGCCTGCCACTCGCCCTTGCCCCCGCTGCCGTCATGCTTATCTACAGCTAGAGGTATCCGCCTCACAAAGTCCGCACAGTGCGTCACGTTAGACATCGGTGGGACGCCATCACGTCGCATGGCAATGAGTACCTCAGCAGCAGCTGCGGCTGGCAGCGAGGTCGTGTTGGTGGTCCTCACACTGACATTGAGTGTCATGAGGGCCTCCACCATGGTCTCGTGAGGCCGCACCGGCAGCACAGCATAGACAGTTGTGCCGTTGAGGGGTATGTCGATCGCCATCGGGTCAGGGAATCCATACCAATAATGGGAGTGGAACAGCGACACGTTGGCAGCACACTCAGGAGCCGCCGCATCACCATCATCGTCATTTTCGTCCACATGAGGCAACAGCTGGCGCTCTCCAAGCAATAGGGATTGTGAGGGGCTGAGCTGCCTTCTGGCTGGCATGGGAATGGGGGAAGGACCCGGGGGCTGTGTGGCGTTGGGACACACGGAAGCGCCAGCCATCACCAACAGGAGGTCACTCGTGTTGGTCGACACAGAGGGCCCCCTGCGGGCGAAGCGGACACTCCAGTAGCCAGCCCTGGGATAGCTGAGCACCGCTGTCGATTCGGCCAGCACAGTCACATTCTCCCAAATGGGCACCGGGCGTTTGAGCCGAATCAGCCTGCGTTCGATGCGGATGTCCTCGGTGGCGTTCCGCACTGGCGCCGGCAGGCACCCCCTCGCTCCCCGACAGTGCCCAGCTTCGCACGAGTCGAACACCCCGCTGCTGTCCGTCTCATTGACGAAGCCCTGATCCTCATACGCCAGCCGCACACACACGTCCTTGGCGACATCTGGCAGACTCAGCCACGCCACCTCCAACTTGGCCTCCGTGACGAAGCGAGTCACAGCCGTGCTGCTGTCGTCCTCACTGTCATCATCCAGAGGCATCCACAGGCTCTCGGGAAGGGGGAAGGACACCAGTGGTGACAGCCCGTTACTGTAGAGCCTCATCTGGACGGCGTGAAAGAGGGGCGACACATAGATGCGGGGCGAGCTGACGCGTTGGCCGAGGCGGACTGTGAGTGCCGCGCCATCGCAGAAGAAGATCGGCCTGCCGCTTCCGGCGAGGGGCGTGGCATAGAGGGTCGCGTACCAGACAGCGGATGAGTAATTGAAGGGCACGGTGAGGCGGAAGGGGTCCGTGTGTGCGGTCAGCAAGAGGGGGAAGGACAGATCGTTAATGCTTCTCGTCGCTATGCGTTAAGAGCACACAGACAGAAGCATGGATGGACTCACACTCATGAGTGCATGCCGTGAGGGAGCGTGGGCTGCCGCTCACCCAGCGCATTCTTCCTCAGCACGAAGAGCGGCGTGTTGCCCTCATCCAGTGTGCTGTCGGAAATCTCCAATATCACCTCATTCACAGCGTATCCGCCGTGCAGCTGCAGCTGGAAGTACCGTACCGAACTGAAAGAAAAGCACAGATCATCAATCCATCCATCCGCGTCATGTCAGTGTGCATTCGTCGGGCTGTGATTACCCGTACCAGCTGTTGAGCTCCTCGTATTCGGTCCATTTAATCTCACTGCCGTCAGCGGGCAGCAAGATGTGGCTGGCAAGAAGCAGCAAGTCGAAGGCGATGAATGCAATCATCGTCACAGGACATACGTCGACGTGCATGACCAAACGAGTCCGAAAGACTGATCACTTGCCCTTCCACTCAGTTCCAACGCAGCAGCGGTGTTCCAAAAGTTGCGAGCTTGAGGTTGCTGAAGGAAACGATCAAAGAAGACTGTTGCGTCCGTGCAGATAGGGGACAGAGCAGTCCTGTTTGCGGCAGGTGTTCAGTTGGAAAGAGATGGCTGCCGCGCGCAAGAGTGAGCCGGAGACGTCGCCGGCCCTCTCGCCGTCCAACATCGGGCCCACATACTATGTGAGCATCGCACAGGGGCACCTGGAGCTTGCCTGCCTGTTACACTGCTCCATTCTTCATTTCTTCTCTATCTCTGTGTGATGCTTCCTGGCTGGCTGGGTGCAGGACATGCTTGAGGTGCCTTTGGATGCATCGCAGGATGAGATTCGCCGGTCGTGGATGAATCTCAGTCGGCAGTATCACCCCGATAAGCTGCTGCAGAGGCAGACCACTGACGAGTGAGTGAGTGAATGTATCCACTGAGGCAGGCGATGGATGGACGAATGAATGGATGATTGCCTGGGTTGTGTGTTGTGTGTGTGTACCAGGGCGTCATGGCAGGACGCGATGCGGCGGTGGAACCAGATCCAGATGGCCTGGAACTGCCTCAGTGACTCAAACAATAGGTATCTAGCGGATGGGTCAACAACAGGGAAGGCCGCGTGCATCTTTATCTGCGGAAGGATATCGCCCACTTGTTACTGCTGTGTGTATGTCGCTGTATCTGTCAGGCGTATGTATGACATAAAGAATGGCTTCAGCGACGAAAAGCCAACCAACAAGGTGAGCACAGAATCTCGGTGTCCGTTGCTGGCCGGTCCGTGTGTCTGCCCCACATTGATGGAGTGTTTGCTTGTTGTCTGTCTGTCTGTCTGTCATCAGGACATAGCGGAGATCTATGAGTACCAGAAGGCCAAGGCCGAGAGTCACACCGCCACCATGGTCTGTCGGTCTGTCAGTCACTCCACGCACAGATAGACAGACGCACTCTACTCATCTGCATCTATCGCATGTGTGGCGTGCGTGGTGTTGTGTCAGCGGCGGCTCTATGATGCCGTGAGGATGCAGGCCGTGCAGTCGGACGGTAGGTACTGTACTGCATGGACGGGTTCACGCCGTCGTTCCTTTATCCATGTCGGGCTGTGTCTGTGTTTGCAGGTCTTGTGGTTGAGTGTGCTTTATATGGCGACCTTCGGCTGAGGGAGGAATACAGATCCACACCGCCCAGTGAGTGAAGACAGCCATTCACGCACTATGACGACGGTATGGCTGTCGGTCATGTCATGTCTTGTGGTGGTGCTGTATCAGAGTTGATCGATCCCTCATTGCACTTGCTGCCGGAGCAGAACCACTGGATGGACGTGACCGTCCAGCTTCAAATGATGGTCCACCGGGATCAAATCATCCTTGGAGGTATGCACCCACTCACTGAAGGTAGGGAGGTCCATGTCGTGCATGGTGGCTGGCAGCACGGGGGGGTGCCCTCCCTCTGTGTGTGTGTCTGTCCTGACAGGGGGCGTCAATAGTTCCAAGGAGCATATCGATGGATTCTACAACCCATGCCCACTCGTGAGCACCACACCCCCAGCCCTGTATGGCATCTATCTCCTCATGTGTGTGGAGGGATGTGTTGGCTGTGTGCAGTCTGACGTAGATTTGTGCATCTACGTTCGGTATCGGTTCAGGGGTTCCGTCCACGAGCACTGCAGCGTGGACAAGGAACCCATCTACCTCCCGCAGAGAAGTAAGGCAACGCCAAACACCGCACCATGCAATCGACATGTGTGTGTGTATGTATCCATCACTCACTCACTCAGGGCATCAGGTTACGGCGGCTCATGGGCCCTTCGCGCCCACCAACTTGTCGGCATTCGAAAGAGAGGTACCTACATGACCCACAGGCACACAGGCACCAACATAGACGACGGCCGTATGTTCGTGTCTGTCGGTGTAGGAGCTGTTGAGCTCCGAGGACGAGTTCAGCCGGGCGCTGAGGGACAGCTACTTCCAGAGGTATGTCATGTGGGACACAGCTCACTCAAACCACACCCATGGACGCTCCCAGCCAAGGCACTGCACTCGTGGTGTCTGTCTGCCTGTCTGTCCCTCAGGCATGCGGCCTACTATCGGAAAAAGCGCCGGATATCGGGGACCAAAGTCGCCATCCTACTCGGAGGTCAGCTGAGCTGCACACAGCAGGCCAGGCACCACACCAACACACAGCCCAGCCACTCACTTGACTGACTTGTCTGCCCTGCTCTCTGGGGCCCCTCCCCTCTCTCCATGGCATGTAATGTATGCCATGTATGTCCATCCATAGCAGCCGCGTGTAGTTGGGGCTGTGTGTACTGGTATGTGTACCACTACCGCCGCAAAGCCATCGCAGAGCAGCTCACGCTCATGGGCTCCGAGGGCGGCATTCTGCACATGATGCGCATCAGCCCAGACGCCATCGTCAAGGCGCTGCCCGACGACCCCTCCGTTGCGCGCAGAGAGTGGCTGGAGAAGCATGTGATTTATTTCTGGAGGGGGTGAGTGAACCGATCTGACGCCAATATTGACGCATCTCACCTCGTTTGTGTGTGTGTGTGTCGGTGCGTGTGAGCGTAGATTGCCCGAGACGAAAGACTACATCGTGGCAAAGGCTACACCGATCGCCAAGGAGGCCGAGAGCGTGGCGCGCCAGGTTTGGGAGAGGGTAAGTTCCATCGACGTCCAGGCCGCCATGAGGGAGGTGGCCGAGCGGGCACAGAAGCTCCCTGACGTGGTGCGGGAGACTGTCAGCGGCTGGCAGAGAAAGGCGGCATAGCCTCGCTAGGGCGTGGATGGATGGCTGGCTGGCTGGCTGTGTATAGGAGAGGGGAGGGAGAGATGGTGGTTGTGTGTAGTTTTGCGCTGCTGATGTGACCGATGAGACAGTACCACATGGCTGCTGCGTCGCATCGGGTGTGTGTTTGTGTTCCATGGGTGGACGGAGATGGGGGCGTTTCCCAGCCTGACACTCAGCTTCGAGTTCTTGCGCAACATCATGGCATCGCGATCGACTGTTCATGTTTGTTCGTGCCGTGGACCAACGCGTGTGTGGCCCCCGGCGCGCCGTTACACATCAACCCCGCACGAGTTCTTGCGCAAAGTGTGTCGTTGAGTTTACAAATGGAGATGTTCGCGCCACGCGGCGGTTTTGGTGAACGGGTTGTAAGGCATTCAGCTCCTTAGGGGGGTCTTATTCGCTCTCGCTCTGCCCAGCAGGGCGCCCCGTAGTGTCGCCAGATGGCCGCCGGACGGAGCCTGGACCACCACCATCGGCGGACTTCCGAGCTGTTCGACGCATACGTCGGCTCCCCGAGCGGCCAGTTCACCGTCCTGAACGGCTTTCTGCACTTTCGCGAACACCCCGCATCCAGCCATGACAAATGCCATCGCAGCGTGACGATGCCGCAGCTGACCACCCGCAGTGCCGGTGCAGATGGCCGGCGCATCGAGCAGCTGGCGGCCACGCTGACGTACAAACCCGCCCCAACCACCATCAGCCTCCTTCCCAAGTGCCCAAGGCAAGGGCTGGAGCGGCTGCCAACGGCCGCCTGCAAGAGCGGGCTGTCGACGCCCTTCTCGTTCACGTCGACCTCTGACGGCTCCCCCACCTCGTCATCATACGGCAGCGGGGCGTCGGTGTCGCCCGCACACAAGTGGATGGGCGAGAACCAGGTCGGCACGCTGGGTGCCATCACCACCGCAGCAGCTGCGGAGGAGTCGTCTGCCTCGCCTCTTACCGACGAGGGCGGGCTGGCGGTAGAGAACGAGGATTGGGGCGAGGGGGAGGGGGACGGCAGGGTGGGTGTGGGTGTGTATGATGGGCAAGGGGAGGGATATGATGATTGGGGCTATAGAAATGAGGGGACGTTTGGTGAGGGGGAGGAGGAGAGGGAGGGTGGTTGGCGTCGGCGGAAGGCCTCGCCCCGCCGACGGAACCGCGTGAGGGCCTCGCCCCACCATAGTGGCGGCAGCGGCAGCGGCATGCGGCACCACAGGCGGCCCGACACCTACATCGACACATACGGCGAGGACACATACACATACAGGCGGTATGCAGCGCGATGCTAAATCCCAAATGAATGCATCCTTTGCCGTTCACCTGTATTGTGTGTGTGTGTGTCAGGGGGCGTTCTCTCCGCGCAGTCTACGGAGCGATGCAGCGCAAGGATCGCATGTATGTGAGTACATTCGTGGATGGATGAATCGATCGATGTACGCGGACATGTGTGTGTGCAGGTACGGTGCGCTCTACAAGACAGAGCTATGCTCCTACTGGAGTGCTGAGGGGGAGTGTCGATTCGGAGCAAGGGTGAGAACCTGGGCGCGGAGGGGGCGAGAGAGACACATACATTCCTTTCTAACCTGTCTCCGTGTGTGTCCTGTGGATGCATCCCCTTCAGTGTTCGTTTGCCCATGGCAAGGAGGAGCTGCGCACCCGCGCCATTGACAAGCTCTTCGGCCCCACAACCACCAGACACACCAACACCATCAGCAGCACAGACCACAGCCCCCCTTTGGGCAGCTACACCTCCCCCAAGAGGACCATAGCCACTAGCACCAGCAGCGGCACGCAGACACCGACTACCACCGTCCACAGCAGCAGGGGCGGCGGCAGGAAGGCCCACCGGCACCCCACAGGCAGCAGCACTCCGTTCCGCCCCGGCACGTTCGACGGTCGGCGTGTGAAGGAGGCGGCGGACAGGGCAGTCAAGAAAGCCATCGGGATGGACCGATGAAGACGATGGGTCCACTTGAAGGGTGGATGGATGGACCATCGACACACACGTGTAGCTATATCGAGGAGTGAGGTAGAATAGAGGGATGGGGG